GGCGCCACAAGGGCAGCGCGACACGCACTAGGGGGGGGAGGGCGCCTCGGGGAGAATAGGGCGCGCTCCGGGCAGAAAAAAAAAATCGTGGGTGGGCCCAGAAAAAAAACGGTCCTTAAGAGGGACCCGCTCTATACCATGAGAAACTGAATGAACAGGAATGAGTGAACTATGAATGAAGGCAGTACAAATATGAAACCCTAACTGGGTTGTACCCCCTATGGGATACCCCACTACAGCCTACACAATAGTATAAGCTATAGATATGTTCTGACACGACGATCCCGACGCTCTCGCTGAGCTGAAGGTGAAGGAGCTGAAGAACGGCCGCCTCGCCATGGTGTCCATGTTCGGCTTCTTCGTCCAGGCCATCGTCACCGGCAAGGGTCCCCTTGAGAACCTGTCCGACCACCTGGCTGACCCCACTGTGAACAATGCGTGGGCCTACGCCACTAACTTCACCCCCGGTGCTTAAAGAAATGCCTCTTTTCTGTACATTTTTTCTCCTATTATACATTAGTTTTCTTACCATCCACTCTAAAAAAAGAGAATCTTTTCGATGATTGCCCAAGCTGCTCAAATCTGAATACCGCCACAGATTTTGATCTTCACACTCTGGCAGTGGCATGCTTCTTTCCCTACTACCTGGCTGGAACGTTTGAACGAATTGACGACAGCAGATAAGTTTCTAAGGGCGTGCCACTAAAATATATGAATGCGCGGGAAAATGAGAAGGAAACTCGATCAGCGCCGTCAGTTAAACTTGGAATTCAGGCAAAGAGGAAAAATAAGTTTCCAACTACCATCCCCTCTGCACCTGCATTGTTTCGACTAGTTCATTGCTGAGCTGGTTGCCTGCTCGCAAGTGCTGTAACGATCAGTTCAAGCAAGCCCGTAATTCACCGCCTGAAACGATCAGCAACAAACCAATAAAATGTGATCAGGTGCCTCTGCACCTCTGCACCTCTTCACCTGCACTGTGACGATGTGCTTTCATGGCGGTTGACACGAATGCCTCGCTGTCACGTTTGATGTTGCTTGCATATGATTGCACGATTGCTAGCGAAACCATTTTGGCTTCACACCATAGGTTTGCCTTGACAACGATTGTGCTGGGATTGTTCCAGTGAACAAACAAACCATTCGTGAAATGCTCTCAGCAATCAGCCTCACCGCAACTAATTCAGTACCACCACGCCCCATCCCAGCTAACCTCATCCCACGAGTCAGCTTGCCTCACCAGCATTCTCGTCGCATGCACGTCTCTGATGTGAACCGCCCAAGCCTTGCGAAACGATTTCGTGAAGTTGCACTCGCACAGTGTTACCAGCAGAGGATTCTGAAGTGCTGGAACTTCGCCAGTCGACACGTAATTTTGTGTGGTCCACACACCTTTTCCCCTTACTATTCTCCTCTAATCATATTGCACACCACGTCACAGGAACCTGATTACCACATTTTTGAAAGGGTAAGTAGCTTTCGCGGGGGTACCACTAGGGACCCCGCGCTTTGTAGGGAGCTACAGTGCCAGCGGGGGGCACTTTCCGCCCCTCCGTGCCTCAGACAGAGGAATTATAGAAACAACACAGAACTCTTCCCCACATTCACCCACGTGGCACAAGTTTCCATGCCAACTACTGCACTGAGCAACTTGTCAACTGTGCACAGTTGACTTTTGTCCCTTCTGCCAAATCGAATCCTCACTCTGGGTGGCTCGGCTGCCACTGTTCCGAAATCTGTTGAGCTAGTTTGTCGCGCCCTAGATTTCGAAACACAGGCCCAGCTCGCCAGACGGAAACGGAGAACACTAGCATTCCGTCTGGTCTACCGTGTGACTGTTTCCGTCAGTGGTTTCAGACACACATCACAGAAACGCGATTTTGCACATGGGCGTTAAAAAAAACAAGTCTCAGATTAGATAGATGGTTGATTCGTAGATGAATATGAATATCGCGGGAAATGAGGGTATTGAGTTTGGTAGTGCGTCTTCGATATCCTTGATGCATTACCGTAATAAAGCATACGGTAGTACTTACCTGATTTTAAAATCGTCATTTTATCAAGCAACTTGATATGCTTACTACAACACGAGACTCTACGAAACGACGAACGAGACACTGTTGGAAGCTTAGTATATCTGTGCGAGAATATGGGCAAAATAAAAAATCCTGTGCACCGCATATGATTCGATGTTCCCACCGTCCAGGTATGAAGCAGGATGTTGACATTGTCTACATTCTCGCTGTTAGTTGTGTCTTGAGGCGTGTGCACGGCATTATGCTCAGAACGCTTTGCTAAGGATAACTTTTGAATCGGTGGACCGATTCATTGCATTACACAGTAAAGTAATAATTACAGGAATTTATTAACAGAACGGCGAATATCCGCTTCATGGGGTGAAGATCTCGGCGTACACCCAGGCGTTGTTCACGGTGGGATCAGCCAGGTGCTCAGAAAGGTTCTCAAGGGGACCCTTTCCAGTGATGATAGCCTGAACAAAGAACCCAAACATCGACACCATGGCGAGGCGGCCGTTCTTCAGCTCCTTCACTTTCAGCTCAGCAAGAGCATCGGGATCGTCAGCAAGGCCCAGGGGGTCGAAGGCACCGCCGGGGTACAGGGGGTCCTCAACCTCTTGGAAGCCCTCGAGGCCACCCACGCGGTAGCTCTCAACGGCACCCATCAGGATGACCTGGGTGGCCCAGATGGCCAGGATGGACTGTGCGTGGATGAGGCTGGGGTTGCCCAGGTAGTCAAGGCCACCCTCGGAGAAGATCTGAGCGCCGGCCTTGAACCACACGGCCTCGCCGAAGTTCACGCCGTTGCCGGCGAGGAGCTCGGGGGTGAGGCAGCCGAGCGCGCCGAGCATGGCCCAGCGAGCGTGGATGACCTGAAGGTAACAAGAGATCATGGTAGACAGGAAGTGAGCGATTGTTACAGGATCTTGTGAGAAGGTATTCTTTAGAAAGTTGTTATTTCGCACGATGTGTACCTAAACTCCGCGGGAATGTATTCAATTGTGACATTAGAGAATTGCCATGCTTACCTCAAGCTCACGGTTCTTGGCGAATGTCTCAGGGTCGGAGGACAGACCAGCGGTATCCCAGCCGTAGTCGCCGGGGTACTCGCCGGTGAGGTACGACGGGGGGGAGGTGAAGGGGCCCAGGAACAGGTTGCGGTCGGGGCCGTAGAAGGCGCTGCTGGAAGCCGCCTTGGCGGTCTTCCTCATCGTCACGCGAGCCTCGACATTGTTGACCTTGGCGGCGAGCTCAGCGCTCTGGCCGACGAAGGTGGAGGGGAGCACGGCAGCGTTAGCGAGAGCGGCCATGGTTTCTGAGCGGTGTCGAATTCGTTGGGAAGCAAGAAATGTGAAGATGTGCAGCTCAAAGAATTCGGCTTGCTTCGGATGGAAAATGGAGCTGCTTTTTGTACTTCGAGAGAGCTGTTGTGGGGGGAGTTGAAGCACTGAAACTTCAGTAGGGCGGAGAAGTGCGGGAGGGATTTACTGTATGGGGGCAAAAGGGGGACGGGAGGGGAGGGTTGCTTGGTTGTGGGTTGGGGGGAGGGGAGGAACGGACATGAAGGGGAAGCAGTGTGGAAGTGGTCCCGCTAGGCGCCGGGAACGAGGGTCTGGCAGAGAATTTCGGTTGATAAAGGTGAATAGATAGAAACGACGATCCGGTAGGATTTGAGGGTTTCTTAAGTGGTGATTACAGCGCGCCAATTGTCGGGGAAGGTGGCCAAGGAAATCTCCTGTGTTGGAAGGAAGAATCGCAGCGCGCCAGTGCCTCTGCTTTGCGAACCTGGCTGCGAAAGTGCTGGATGCATCAGGGAGAATTACGTCTTCCAATCACAGCACACCGCCATACGCATCTCTCGCAGCGAGTGGTCAAAATCGTCAGCCTGAGTTGTCGGTTCCATGGCCGTCGTCTGACATGTGTTGAAGATGCCGCGTTTCAAGCACTCCGCATTGGTTTTATTAAAAAAAAATGTTCTAAGACTTCTCACATGTATTGCAATCACAGAAAGCTTATCACAATGTTTGATTCATCCTTGAGGTCACTAGTGCCTAAGAATCTTCATGATCTACACTAGTGATGCACCCGATTAAAAACAACTTGCTCTATACATGAAGGCATCGAAGATCAATGAATGAACTCATTACTCTACGCTACCAGAGAATGCAGGACACTAGTTTGTATGGTATTTTGAATTACAGTAGCAGGCGTTTCTCAATTCATTGGCAGGCCGAATCACTAGCTCCCATTGCATCTAGTTAGTAGTAGCAGCATCTGCCAATGGGTGTGCATACAAGGATCCTTCCAGCCCTTATCTTGCATCAAATTACAATCCCTTAGCAGCCATTAGCTGTTTCGGACGTTCAAGCATCTGGCCTCCCATTGCTACTTTCCCTGAGCATCTGAACCGCCTATAGCGCCACTGCACACTCCATGCGCCTTCCCACCTGTTGAGTTGACTCCTGTGCATCTGCCTTTCCCTGTCAACCCGCCTTTCCCTCTCAACCTGCTTTTCCCTGTCAACCTGCTTTTCTCTGTCAACCTGCTTTTCTCTGTCAACCTGCTTTTCTCTGTCAACCTGCTTTTCTCTGTCAACCTGCTTTTCTCTGTCAACCTGCTTTTCTCTGTCAACCTGCTTTTCTCTGTCAACCTGACTCTCCCCCAATGTTTACCTTTCCCTCTCAACCTGCCTTTCCCTCTGAGACTTTCTGTCCCTGCCAGTCTCCCTTTCCCTGTGTGTGTACCTTTCCCTCTCAACCTGCCTTTTCCTGTACCTCTACCTTTCCCTGTCAAACTGCCTTTCCCTGTGTGTATACCTTTCCCTGTCAACCTGCCTTTCCCCGTGCATCTGCACAGCCTCTAACGCCACTGCCCACTCCTCCATGCTCCTCCCTTTGCGTTGAGACTCACAAGACATTCTCTCTCGTCTGCCATTCCCCCCTGCGTCTGTGTATTCCTGTCAACCTGCCTTTCCCTCTCCATCTACCTTTCCCTCTCCATCTGTGCAGCCTCTAGTGCCACTGCCCACTCCTCCATGCTCCTCCCCTCCACTGTCACCCATGGGATGATCCCAAGGGCCGGCTGCTTCCACCAATGGGAGACCTGCAGTATCAGAATGAAGGGGAAGGGGGCACACGAAACATCTTCTAAGTTTGTCGAACACACGGAATGATCCCAACGGCCGGCTGCTTCCACCGATGAGATACCCGCATGATCAGAACGACGGGAGTGAGGGTGCAGGGAAGTTTTTGTGTGTTCTGAGAGGCGAATCTCTCACCAGGTGAGAGGCGAATCACTCACCAGGTGAGAGGCGTCGTCGTGGGTGCGAGACACGAGCTGCCTTGACTTCCCCTGTAGCTGTGCCAGCTGCGGCAGCCACTCCGACAAGCTATCAGGTGTGTTTTAGACACAGCAAGCAGTTGAATGCACTCACCAGGAAGGTCAGACGCGTCGTGGGTGCGAGACACGAGCTGCCTTGATCTGCCCCTGCAGCTGTGCCAGCTGAAGCAACCATAATAACAGCCCTTCCCTTGCCACATGCTATAAGGTGAGTTCCAGGGACAGAGAGTAGTTGAATCACTCACCAGTTCAGAGGCGTCATGAGTGCATGAGACGAGTTGCCTTGACTGCCCCTTAAGCTGTGCCAGCCGTGGCAGCTGAGGCAGCTCCACGCACCACATTAAGCAGACGTATTGACCCATGGCAAGTAGATGAATGGACTCACCAGTTCAGAGGCGCTCTGAGTGCGCGAGACGAGCTGCCTTGCCTGCCCCTGCAGCTGTGCCAGCTGCGGAAGCCACTCCGATAACACCTCCATATGCTGCTGCTCCGCCTGCTGCTGCAGCCCAGCGAGTTGCCTGGATGGGGGATGAGGGGATGGGAAAAAGGCAGACAGGGAGAGAAAGGAGAGTGTGGGAAGCGAGGGGAAGTAGCCACTCGGATAGCACCTCCATATGCTGCTGCTCCGCCTGCTGCTGCAGCCCAGCGAGTTGCCTGGATGGGGGATGAGGGGATGGGAAAAAGGCAGAAAGGGAGAGAAAGGAGAGTGTGGGAAGCGAGGGGAAGCAGCCACTCGGATAGCACCTCCATGTGCTGCTGCTCCGCCTGCTGCTGCAGCCCAGCAAGTTGCCTGGATGGAGGGTCGGGGAATGGGAAAAAGGAGAAAAGAGAAAGAGAGCAGGGAGAGCGAGCAAGGTCAGGCAGCCACTCTGCTCGCACCTCCTGCTGCTGCTCTGCTCCACCTGCTGCTACAAGGTGACTTTTGAGCCGACTCAAAAGTCACTTCGTCAGGCAGACACTCTGCTCGCACCTCCATGTGCTGCTGCTCCGCTCCACCTGCTGCTACAAGGTGACTTTTGAGCCGACTCAAAAGTCACTTCGTCAGGCAGACACTCTGCTCGCACCTCCATGTGCTGCTGCTCCGCTCCACCTGCTGCTACAAGGTGACTTTTGAGCCGACTCAAAAGTCACTTCGTCAGGCAGACACTCTGCTCGCACCTCCATGTGCTGCTGCTCCGCTCCACCTGCTGCTACAAGGTGACTTTTGAGCCGACTCAAAAGTCACTTCGTCAGGGAGACACTCTGCTCGCACCTCCATGTGCTGCTGCTCCGCTCCACCTGCTGCTACAAGGTGACTTTTGAGCCGACTCAAAAGTCACTTCGTCAGGGAGACACTCTGCTCGCACCTCCATGTGCTGCTGCTCCGCTCCACCTGCTGCTACAAGCCACATGCATGCATCTGCATCCACCAATCACACCTTCCCACCGTTATGCACCACTCTGACATCCCACAGCCCCATGCACCAAACCAGCTTACCGTGCCATGCTGGCGACAGCTGGCTCCAGCTCTGCAGCGCTGCCAGCTGCCACGTCAGCAGCTGCTGACATGGCATCCACAAACTGAGCCACTGCCAGGAGATCAGTGCTCAAAGACACTGCTGACGTCACCCCCCTCCCTCCTCCTCCTCCTCCACCTCCCCCTCCCCCCTCAATCCCACTTCTTCTACCCTCCACTCTCACTCCTCCCACCTCATTTTCCCTCGTCCTCTCCCCCTCTTCCCCAGCCCTCCCCCTCCCCACACTCCCCCCCCCAGTGCAACCCCAAGCATGAGCAGCCAGCTCACTCCCTGTCCCACCGTCTATCCTGCCACCTGTCGCCGCATCATTGGCTTCCCAAGCTGCCCGAAGAACCTGGGCAGCCTCAGCAGCCAATGGAAGAATCGGGTCACTATCAGAAGAAGGTGTAGGTGCATTGGAGGAGGAACGGGAAGAGGAAGGGAGTGATGGGAGGGGGAGAGGGGAGGGGGAGAGAGCGAGAGAGTGAACGAGAGAGGAGAGAAGGGGCCAGAGTACAGTATCAGCAGCAGCTGTACCACCAACACCACCAACACCAGCAGCACCAGCAGCAGCAGCAGCAGCAGCAGCAGCAGCAGCAGCAGCAGCAGCAGCAGAGGCAGAAGAAGCAGATGAGTGTTCCTGCCCCTGAAGCTGTTCCTGTCCATGTTCGTGTCCCAGCCCCTCGCCCTCCCCCTCAACAGCCGCCGATGGAAAGCTAAAGCTACTTCGTGCCTGTGCCTGTGCCTGTGCCTCCCTCTCAGAGGACAGTGATGGGTTTTGAGGCGTCTGAGACGTCTGAAGTATCTCACTACGCAACGGAAAGCTACAGGAGACCGGGCGGCACAGCCAGGAGGGCGGCAGCGCCACGCCAGCTGTCACCTCGTGAGTGGCCAGATCCCATGCCGCTCGAACCGAGCCAATGAGAGCGCTTCCAGCCTTTGCCACGTGTCCTGCCAGGGCCTTTTGAGTCTGCCCATTTGTGAGGTTCCACCACATGTGTGCATAGGCCTGATGGGAATTGAGGGGGGGGGGGGGGGGGGGGGGGGGGTGCCGAGAGATTAAGAGGGGTGGATGAGGGGGATTGGATAAGTCACTAGCTTCCAATGCTGTCTCCCCATTGGAGGGTTCCCCCACATGTGCGCATAGGCCTGATGGGGTGTGGGGTTGCAGAGGAAAGGGGGTGTCGAATGGGTATTCACAGAGTACGAAGGGTGAATGGGGTGAGTCCTGTCAGGGCATTCTGAGTCGTCCCATTGGTGAGGTTCCACCACATGTGGGCATAGGCCTGTTAGGGAGGGGGAGTGTAGAAATCACGAGGCACAGATGCGTTTGGAGGGGTTTAGATACGTTGTGCGTGCACTCCTGATGCAGTCTCCCCATTGGTGAGGTTCCACCACATGTGGGCATAGGCCTGTTAGGGAGCACGGAGGAAGCGGGACGAATGGGTATTCACAGAGTACGAAGGGTGAATGGGGTGAGTCCTGTCAGGGCCTTTTGAGTCGTCCCATTGGTGAGGTTCCACCACATGTGGGCATATGCCTGATGGGAAGGGAGAGGGCGCGGAGAGAGAATTACAAAGTGGGCACCAGGGGGGCCACATAAGCCCCAGCTCTTCTGCTGCCTTCAAGTCGCCCTGTTGGTGAGGCTCCACCACTTGTGGGCATAGGCCTGAACGGAAGGGCGGCTGTGGGTGCAGAAAACGCGAGATACAGATGGGTTTGGAGGGGTTTAGATACGTTGTGTACTCCTGATGCCGCCTCCCCATCCACCACATCTGGGCTTAGGCTTGATTGGGGGTCGCTAAGGAAGAGGGAAGTGTGTGTGTTTGTTTGTTTCTCTCACTTGGTTCAACCAATAACGCCCAACAGCTAAGCAAACTCTGCAGCTTACCATTGGGAATTTAGCAGATTGCTTTTGTTTTGTTTTGATTTTTTTTCTATTACACCACTTTTCCCAAACCAAGTGACATGATGTGTCCAGACAGGAGCAAGGGACATAGACAGGGCATACCTGGTTTATCCTCCTTATAAGCTCGTACTCCGCCCACTTATTGCTGCGCTCGTCATTGAAACCCTTGATTCGCTCCCACTGCTGCAGCACTCTGCGATTCGTGGCTCCTGCTGCTGCCACCTCACTGCAATGGGGGATAATTACCGACAAAAGAAGTACAATGGGGCAAGATGGAAAGAGGTGATTGCATCATCCGCCAATAGACTTGCTGCAGCAGCCGGGATGGAGCAGAGGCTGGACTAATGAGAATTCTCAGAAGCAGCCGGGATGGGACAGACAGAGGCAGGACTTGTCACTTGTACTATGTCCCACCACCCGCCTTGACATGACAGTCGCCTTTCTGCTGCTTGAAGCACCCTCAGCTCTGCCTCTCCCACAGCTATCCCCAACCCCACAATTTCAAGCCACTCACCTCCGCACTCTCACTCACCCACTTTCACAATATGCACTCTATCACCTAGAAAGGCATATTTCCGCAGCTTGAAACACCTGCCGCTCTGCCTCTCCCACAGCTGTCCCCAACCCAAGCACGTCTATGTGCGTGTGCCCGTAATTTGCATGCGCTCTCACCTTGACAACCGTTTCTCCGTTGCCTGAAGCACTTGCAACTCTGCCTCTGCCACAGCTATCCCCAACTCCACATCCTCCAGCCTCTCACCTCCGCACTCCCGCCCACCTTCACATAGTATAGAATATGCCAATATCCCACCTTCACATAGTATAGAATATGCCAATATCCCACCTTGATAGTCGCTTCTCCGCTGCTTGCAGCACCCTCAACTCTGCCTCCGCCATAGCTATCCCCAACTCCAACTCACCTATCCATGTGTATGTGATTTGCATGCGTGAGTGCGCTATCCCACCTTGATAGTCGTTTCTCCGCTGCTTGAAGCACCCTCAACTCTGCCTCCGCCATAGCTATCCCCAACTCCACATCCTCCTCACCACCCACTCCCTCCTCCCCTCCCTCCTCCTCTCCCTCCTCCCCTCCCTCCACCTCTCCCTCCTCGCCTCCCTCCTCCCCCCTCTTCCCTGCCCCGTCTCTGTCCCGTCTGTTAGATTGATCACTGGTCCTCCTTTCCACCTCCAGCCTCACTGCGTCAGCTCTCTTCCTCAGCACTTGCGTCTGCAGGCACAGGTCGCGATACTCCTTCTGCCAGAGGGGACGTAGAGGGAGTGAGAGAGAAAGGAGGGAGTGAGCGTGTTTGCTTCAGCAGCGGTCCTCCTTTCCACCTCCAGCCTCACTGCGTCAGCTCTCTTTCGGAGCACTTGCGTCTGCAGGCACAGGTCGCGATACTCCTTCTGGCAGAGGGGCCAAAGAGAGGGAGAAACGGAGGGACAAGGGGGAAGAAACGTCTCTTACTCAGCACTTGCGTCTGCAGGCACAGGCCGCGGTACTCCTTCTGCCAGAGGGCAATGGAGAGAAAGAGCGAGGGAGAGGGAGAAACGGAAGGACAAGGGGGGAGAAACGATGGCCGCTGTGTTCCTTCTCAGCACCTGCGTCTGCAGGCAGGTCACCGTACTCCTTCTGGCAGAGGGACATCGAGAGAGGGAGTGAGGGAGGGAGCGAGGGAGGGAGTGAGAGAGGGATGGGAAGGGAGAAGGGAGCCTCGGCTCTCCTTTTCAGCACCTGCGTCTGCAGGCACAGGTCGCGATACTCCTTCTGACAGAAGGAATCGGGGGGGGTGAGAGAGGGAGGGAGTGAGCCTACTTGCTTCAGCAGAGGTCCTCCTTTCCACATCCAGCCTCACTGCCTCACTGCCTTCTTTTGGAGCACTTGAGTCTGCAGGCGCAGGTCGCGATACTCCTTCTGGCAGAGGGAGCATAGAGAGAGGGAGGGAGGGAGTGAGGGAGGGAGTGGGGGAGGGAGTGAGAGAGGGGTGGGGAGGGAGAAAGGGGGCCTCGGCTCTCCTTTTCAGCACCTGAGTCTGCAGGCACAGGTCGCGATACTCCTTCTGGCAGGCGGAAAAGGGAAGCCGCAGGATAGGAACATAAGATAACGAAAGGGTGTCTGCATCACGGAAAGCAAGGGCACGAGTAGAGAAAGACTCTCCTCTGGCGGCTTCGGCTCTCCTTTTCAGCACCTGAGTCTGCAGGCACAGGTCGCGCTACTCCTTCTGGCAGGCGGAAAAGGGAAGCCGCAGGATAGGAACGTAAGATAACGAAAGGGTGTCTGCGTCACGGAAAGCAAGGGCACGAGTAGAGAAAGACTCTCCTCTGGCGGCTTCGGCTCTCCTTTTCAGCACCTGAGTCTGCAGGCACAGGTCGCGCTACTCCTTCTGCAAGAGGTAAAGGGGTTGTTGCAGAGTAGAAAGGTCAAAAATACTTTTGAGGCGCCTCAAAAGTCCCACTACTCCTTCTGCAAGAGGGAAAGGGGTTGTCGCAGAGTAGAAAGGTCAAAAATACTTTTGAGGCGCCTCAAAAGTCCCACTACTCCTTCTGCAAGAGGGAAAGGGGTTGTCGCAGAGTAGGAAGGTAAAAAAAAGCGGAAGGACGTTTGTAATGAAGGATGCAGATAACGAAAGGACGCTTCATCAGCATCTAGCCATCGGCCAACACACTTGCCCTTCTCACTTGCCTCGCCAGCACCAGCTCCTGTGTTGACTGCAGCGCCTGGTGCTGCTGACTCAGTGCAGTAGCAGTGAGATCTACTCACCCACACCCACCCATCGACCAACACACTTGCCCTTCTCACCTGCCTCGCCAGCACCAGCTCCTGTGTTGACTGCGGTGCCGGTCGCTGCTGACTCGCCCCAGCCCTTGCTCCTCGCCCTGTGCTGCCACCAACCCCAGCAGCAGCAGCAGTGGCAGCAGCAGCACCACCACCATCTGCACCTGCCTCTCTTACCTGTCTCGCCAGCACCAGCTCCTGTGTTGACTGCGGTGCCGGTCGCTGCTGAATCGCCCCAGCCCTTGCTCCTCGCCCTGTGCTGCCACCAACCCCAGCAGCAGCAGCAGTGGCAGCAGCAGCAGCACCACCATCTGCACCTGCCTCTCTTACCTGTCTCGCCAGCACCAGCTCTTGTGTAGACTGTGGCCCCTGGCGCTGCTGAATCGCCCCAGCCCTTGCTCCTCGCCCTGTGTAAACATCGAGAGGTAAACTTCCTTTTCACACTCTTACCTGTCTCGCCAGCACCAGCTCTTGTGTAGACTGTGGCCCCTGGCGCTGCTGACTCAGTGCAGTAGCAGTGAGATCTACTCACCCACACCCACCCATCGACCAACACACTTGCCCTTCTCACCTGTCTCGCCAGCACCAGCTCCTGTGTAGACTGCGGCCCCTGGCGCAGCTGACTCAGAAAAGCACCTGCCTTGCCTTGCCATGCTCTCACGCTTACCTGTCTCGCCAGAACCAGCTCTTGTGTAGACTGCGGCCCCTGGCGCAGCTGACTCGCCCCAGCCCTTGCTCCTCGCCCTGTGCTCCCACCAGCCCCAGCAGCAGCAGCAGCAGTAGCAGCAGCAGCAGCACCACCGTCACCACCGTCAGCAGATGAGAATGATGCATGCTTTGCTGCCTTGCGCAAAAGGTGCTTTGACGTGCCACCACCACTGCCGCTGCGGTTGTCACTGCCACCAGTCATCCCAGCCGTACTTCCCCTACTCGCACTGAGAGGCGCCTTGGTTGGTGTGGTCAGTCTGGTGATAAGCAGGGAAAGGGAGGAGCAGAGAGGGGTTGAGGTGGCTAATCTGGTGATGAGCAAGGGAAGGGAGGAACAGAGAGGGGTTGGGGTGGTCAGTCTGGTGATAAGCAAGGGAAGGGAGGAAGGTAGCGAGGCTGGGAACACGACACTGCCACCAGTCAGCCCTCCCGTTCCTCCCCCACTCGCACTGAGAGGCGCCTTGGTTGGGGTGGCCAGTCAGATAGTAAGCACGCAAGGGTGGGGAAGGAAGAGAGAGGTTGGGAACACGAGTGCTGTCGACACTGCCACCAGTCATCCCTTCCCTTTCTCCCCCACTCGCACTGAGAGGCGCCTTTTGAGTTGGGAAGGAAGAGACAAGGATGATAACTTGTGAGAAGCCCCCAATGCACTTGTCCTAGTCTTGTCCCTTCGTCCTCCACTCCACATCTCTCCACACACACTCCCTCCACCTCTCTCCACACACACTCCCTCCGAATCTCCTCCGCCTTCCTCCCTACAGCACTCTGCAGCAGCACCACCACACCAACCTTCCCTGAAACCCAAACTTTCCACACACAAACAGACTCAACTCCACTTACCCCAGTGACCAGTCTTGTGCCTTCCTCCTCCACATCCGTTCCCACACATTCTCTCTTTACCTCCTCCACCTTCCTCACCACAGCACCCTGCAACCCAAACTTTCCACGCACAAACAGACTCTCCTCCACTCCACTTACCCCAGTGACCAGTCTTGTGCCTTCCTCCTCCACATCCGTTCCCACACATTCTCTCTTTACCTCCTCCACCTTCCCCTCTACAGCATCCCAACTACCCTTCACCCTCATCCCTAATGCACTTACCCCAGTCTCGTTCCCTCCTCCTCCAAATCAGTCCCCGCACACTCCCTCCGAATCTCCTCAGCTTCCTCTCCACGGCACCCTGCAGCACCACGTACCTACCCCCTGGAACCACTGCATATCCCCCACTTACCCTAATCTCGTTCCTTCTTCCTCCACATCTGTCCCTGCACACTCCCTCCTTATCTCCTCCGCCTTCCTCTCCACAGCACCCTGCAGCACCGCCACCAACCCCTCCGGATGAAGCCTCGCGCGTTCTAAAAAGCTTCTCACCGGCAGCTCGCTCCATTCTATAGGCGCCAGATCAGCCAAGCCTCCAGGGAAAGAGAGGAGAAAAGAGTCGGCGGGGGTAGCAGGAGCAGCAGAGGCGGCAGAAGTACCAGCAGTAGCTGCTGCTATGCTGTTCCTACCTGCTGCTGCTGCCGTTGCAGCGTTAGCAGCAGCAGGCACATTACTATTAGCAGCATGAGAGGGATAAATTGTAACTGCTGCAAGGGAGGAAATGGCACTCGTGTGTTGGCCTGGCTGGGGGGTAGCAGCAGCAGCAGCAGCAGCAGCGGCAGCGGCACCAGCAGCAGCAGCAGCAGCGGCACCAGCAGCAGCACCAGTAGCAGCACCAGTAGCCGTACCAGCAGCAGCAGCAGGGGGGGAGTGAATGGCATCAGACAGCCGGGCCTGCAGAAACATCTGCAGGAGAGAAAGAGCCTCATCCGTTTCAGCAGCCGTGGGGAGAGAAGCTGCAGGCTCCGCTGCTGCTGCTGCTGCTGCGGTTCCTGCTGCTGCTGTGGCTGTTGTTGTGGCTGCTGCCGGTGCTGCTGCCATTCCTGCTGTTCTGGATCCTCGTGTTGTAGCAGCAGAAGCGGCAAGAGCAGGTGAAATGCGAGCCTTGCAGTCACTCAGGCCATGGTTCCCAGCCCCCAGGTACGCCCGAAATCCGTTGATTTGCAGCGAATGCGCGTGAAGCACTGCCGCCCTCGCCCTGCCAGTTGTATGGGGTTACAGTGTTACAAATGAGGAAAAATCGTGAGACTTGAAGTCACAAAGACCCCGGTTCCCAGCCTCCAGGTAGGTTCCGAAGCCGTTGACTTGCAGCAAATGCGCGTCAAGCACCGCCGCCCTCGCCCTGCCAGTTGTATGGGGTTACAGTGTTACAAATGAGCAGAAATTGTGAGACTTGAAGTCACAAAGATCCCATTGACGCTTGGAAGCCATTGACTTGCAACGGATGAGCGTGAAGCACCGCTGCCCTCGCCCTGCCACGTGTGTTACAGTGTTACAGTGTTGTGCAACAAGAGGAACACACATTTGAGCATTCTCAAAGAGCTGACTTCCGAGTAGACTCAAATATCGCGGAGTTACAGTGTTGCACATGAGGAGCAAAACATTTTAAAGCATTCTCAAAACTTTCCTCGCCCTTCAACAGGCGTGCTACGGGGTTTCAGAGCTGCGCATCACAAAGAAAACATGTGGGAAAACGGGAGGTGCGACCATCATCGCACAGCAATTAATTCACTCACAACACACACCTTATCGACGAAGCCTCCTCGTCCATCTGCGTGCTCTGCGCTGACAGCGATTCGACATCGCGCGCTTTAACGTGCACGGATCGCTCACAACACACACCTCACAGCCGAAGCCTGCTTGTCCATGGCTGTGCTCTGCGCGGACAGCGACTCGACATCGCGCGCCTTCGAGTGCACCGATCGTTCCGGCGACACTACCGCCTGCTGCTCCTGCTGCTGTCTTCGTTCTACTGTTTGAGTCACTACTGTCTGCTGCTGCTGTCTTTTCCCGCATTGCTTCATCCCTCCCACAGAAACCTCACCTTATCGCTGAGGCCTGCTCGTCCATCTGCGTGCTCTGCGCTGACAGCGACTCCACATCGCGCGCTTTAGCATGCACAGATCGCTCGAGCGACACCACCGCCAGCTGCTCCCGCTGAAGCCGCTCCGCGGCCACCGCCTTCCGCTCGCGCGCATCCCTCTCCCGCTCCTCCTGCGCCCGCTCCTGCTCTCGTCGTTCGCGCAGTTCCCGCTCCGCCGCCTGCTCCGCGGTCTCCGGGGGTTGCCTTTCCCCCGAACCCAGATTTCCGCCAGCAGTTGCGCGGCTGGGCCCGCTTCCCCTGGATCCGACCCCGCGTTGCGCTTGCGGGGGAACAGATCCGCGCGGATACGCCCCGCGGGAAGGCTGGGATGCGGCTGTGTAGGTTTGTCTGCGAATTCTCGGATCCGCCATGTTACAGGCTAAGACTAAAAAGCTGATACGAACCTACTACTCTTGGATCATACAGCGCGAAGACGGTGGGAAAGACGAAATAGTTCAGGATTCGTTCACCGCATGTTAGCCTCAGATCAAGCTCCTCAAGTTGCCTTGAGTTTATTTTGCGTTGCTGAGTGCTTGTCAAATGCTTAGAGTCTGGGAATTCTTCTGACATGGCCCTAAGCCGAGGGGAGTGGGGGAGGGCAGGGCATGCAGGGCTTGTGATGAGAGTATCGAGCTTACGAACAATAATGATTTCGTGATGCGGGAAGCGAAGCTGCACATCTTCGCATTTTCTGCGGCTCGGCATTTTCAAGGGCCAGTTACAGACGTTGTTTCTGGCGGGAATCCAGTTGAGTGGGATGGAACTTGTAACCCCCAACCAGGCGAACCTAAAGAAGTTCGCGAGGCTGATATTGGTTTCAAAAATTGCACACTTTACTCGGTTCTGTGAGGTATGTGCTGTTTCAAACCGGTTGGAAGTTAAATTCATGTGAGTTACTATTGAGGCAATGTTTCAGCAGTATCCAAGCATGGCCTCCTAATTTCAAGAGGGTTCTAAAGTGGGACAAGGAACTGTGCTGAGAATTGTTTGAGATAGGTACATCCTACGACCAGTCCCTTAGTCAGGTCCTTGTACTCGAGCATGGTAGCGCATGGTATTGCAAACGGCGATGCGTTTTCGCATGAACGTTTAGCTGACTGAAGGGTAGCGTAAAGGCGACGTCGTACGACAGATGCGCTTCGAAGCTAGGCTCGTCCCGCGTCGCGTCCTCGTGTCGATCCGTGAAGCAGTCGAAACGTCGTCGCTCTTCACGTTATTGCAAGCCACTTCCATCGTTCCAATAACGAATATAACGACTATCCTACGACTTCCATCAACGTACCCCTCGTTTCCTAGCATGGCTACTCGTCCACTCACATTCCGACCGTTACAATCACTTCTTCCACGTGGGCCAGAACCCCCTCTACTTTCACCCTCGATAAAGGATAATCCCAATATTTTCAAGACCGTCACCTCGTTAGGAGCCGCAGCAGCAAGGTTTAGAGTAAAGGCTCTCATTGACCTGTCGGTAAGTAGTATTACTGGCAGCACGAGAAGCAGTATCTTTTCGCGAGGTGCTGTTACCAGCAGCTGCATTGCAAGCACCACGTGGCGTCATCCCATTTGTCCTGGTCCGCTCCGCGACAGCCAGACTGCCGCCCTTCACAGCGCACATTCTTCGACGGCGGAACCCTCTAAGGAAGCTTCTTCTACGGAACTCTCATCTCCAGACAATGCCAATACCCTCTCCCCTTCCTCTGTCCAAATCCTGTCCACTCCAACGCGTGTAGTACCTGAACGGCTATCTAGCAATGTCCAAACCGCAGAAGAATCTCAGCCGTTGGATCTAGATGATCCAAGGGTCCTGGCGTGCTGTGAACCGCTAAGTGCCAGTGGGAACTCGCAGGAGCAGCAGCGGCCGCTGCGGGTGGCCGTGCTGCTAAGTGGCGGTGTGGATAGCAGTGTGGCGCTTAGGCTGCTGCACGCAGCAGGGCACAAATGCGAGGCGTTTTACTTGAAGATCTGGTTCCAAGAGGACTTTGAGAACTTCTGGTCGCAGTGCCCCTGGGAGGACGATTTGGCCGTGGCTCAGGCCGTGTGTGACGAGGTGGGTAGCACTAAGCTTATAACGAGGATAACCTGGCCGTGGCACAGCCTCACATGTGGTTCCAGGAGGACTTTGAAAACTTCTGGTCGCAGCGCCCCTGGGAGGATGACCTGGCCGTGGCGCAGGCTGTTTGTGATGAGGTGAGTGTTTTTCCACTGCACACCCACACCCACCCACACACGGGTACACAGCCGCACACACAGCCGCACACACACACACACACACACCCACACACACCCACACCCACACCCACACCACACAACCACACCCACCCACCAGACACACTCGCACATGTGGTTCCAGGAGGACTTTGAGATGTTCTGGTCGCAGCGCCCCTGGGAGGATGACCTGGCCGTGGCGCAGGCTGTTTGTGATGAGGTGAGACTCTGTCTAACACACACCAACAAACCAAGTGGAAGCTTCATCACCCCCCTCTATCTGCACCGCACTCCACCCCTCCCTCCAGATTAACGTTCCGCTGCACATAGTGCATCTCACAGACGCCTACTGGCAGCGCGAGGTGGCGCACTGTGCCACTGAGTGGGGGCTTCATTCATCTCTCTCCCTCCATCTGCACCGCACTGCACCCCCTCCCTGCAGATTAACATCCCGCTGCACATAGTGCATCTCACAGACGCCTACTGGCAGCGCGTGGTGACGCACTGTGTGGGAGAAATCCGCAGCGGCCGCACTCCCAACCCCGACATGCTCTGCAACTCGCGCATCAAGTTTGGTGCGTCCTCCATTTTAAAACCAGTAAAATGTTCTGTGTTTGGATGTCTTTTCAGTCTAGTCAAAACCCAACCCCGACATGCTCTGCAACTAGTGTGTCAAGTTTGGTATACTCTAAATCCATCCTGAACACATTCAAAAGCCACTTTGAAATCATCTGGAAACAACTAAAAAGTGATCAAGAATCCACCCTAAAGCCGTCCTAGAAATGTCATGAACCATCCTTAAAAAAAAAAAAAAAAAAATACAAATCATCCAGTATTCGGTCTAAAACCTTCAAGAAACCATCTTACAACCATCTTAACCCCCCCCGACTCCGAATTTCTGTCTTGGCTGTGCTCTCTCAAAATTCCAGAGTTGTAATATGTTCTGATTTGCGTATCCACAGTTGGGTACCTGATGATGGTGGATGGATGGGTGGGTGACTCCTAAAGCATTAGGGCGTGTTCCTACTTGCCTGATAGAGTGCGCGAAGGGTGAGTTTACACGAATATTAGTGTGGTGCAAAGTGAGTCTGATAAGAGGTTGCCTGAAAAAGGGCCATAGAAACACGCCCTTAGTTTGGTGTGAGATGCTTGTGCGTGGTGCACAAGGCACGTGCTTGCTTCCCAGTTGCAAGCCTCACCGTTGTGTTGTGTGCTGTATGCCCTTTTGTGTCTGCGCTATATCGGGACATCAGCGATGGCTAGACAACTTCACCAGTCTCCCCTCTGGGAGGTGCTAGACCTCGGTCTCTGCCTTGCTCCTCCAGGTGCTAGACCTCTGTCTCTGCCTTGCTCCTCCAGGTGCTAGACCTCTGTCTCTGCCTTGCTCCTCCAGGTGCCTTTTACGATCACCTTGACTCACTCAACGCCTTCGTCCACGTGGCATCAGGCCATTACGCTCCTTGCTAATATAATAACCGCGACGCCCCCGTTCTCTCTTCCCCCTGACTTCCACACCCCTCCAGGCGCCTTCTACAATCACCTCGACTTCACTCATTTCGACCGCGTGGCATCGGGGCATTACGCCCCTTACTAGTGGCCATTGCAACCCTATACATTCTTCCGTTCACCTTTGCTCTCCTCCAGGTGCCTTTTACGATCACCTCGACTTCACTCATTTCGACCGCGTTGCATTGGGGCATTACGCCCCTTACTAGTGGCCATTGCAACCCTATACATTCTTCCGTTCACTTTTGCTCTCCTCCAGGTGCCTTTTACGATCACCTCGACTTCACTCATTTCGACCGCGTGGCATCGGGGCATTACACCCCTTACTAGTGGCCATTGCAACCCTATACATTCTTCCGTTCACCTTTGCTCTCCTCCAGGTGCCTTTTACGATCACCTCGACTTCACTCATTTCGACCGCGTTGCATCGGGGCATTACGCCCCTTACTAGTGGCCATTGCAACCCTATACATTCTTCCGTTCACTTTTGCTCTCCTCCAGGTGCCTTTTACGATCACCTCGACTTCACTCATTTCGACCGCGTGGCATCGGGGCATTACGCCCCTTACTAGTGGCCATTGCAACCCTATACATTCTTCCGTTCACCTTTGCTCTCCTCCAGGTGCCTTTTACGATCACCTCGACTTCACTCATTTCGACCGCGTTGCATCGGGATATTACGCCCCTTACTAGTGGCCATTGCAACCCTATACATTCTTCCGTTCACCTTTGCTCTCCTCCAGGTGCCTTTTACGATCACCTCGACTTCACTCATTTCGACCGCGTGGCATCGGGGCATTACGCCCCTTACTAGTGGCCATTGCAACCCTATACATTCTTCCGTTCACCTTTGCTCTCCTCCAGGTGCCTTTTACGATCACCTCGACTTCACTCATTTCGACCGCGTTGCATCGGGGCATTACGCCCGAGTTATCCGCTCACCACCACCTGGCCGATCTCACCCCGGCGAGAGTGTTGCTGTGCGCCTGGTCCTGTCTGCAGATGAGGTGAGATATCATCTGAGGCGCCTCAAAACACTTTACTCGTTTGACTGTGTGGCATCGGGGCACTATGCCCGCGTTGTCCCCTCGCTAACTGACCCGTCTCAACCGGGCCAGTCTGCTGCTGCTGTGCGCCTGGTCCTGTCAGCAGACGAGGTGTGTCTGAGGGATCTCAAAGCAATTAATTTAGTCCTGTCTGATGAATATGCTGGCCGGTACCCCGGTTGACCCCTAGCATATTCATTCAATCTAGCAGATTCCTTGAACTAGCACCGTGCAATACAAAAGGTTCTCACTGTCTCACTGTCACGGCGGTCGCCGCTAGTTCAAGGAACCGCCGCTACAAAAGGTTGGTGTGAAGGTGTGGCGACCGCCGTGACTTCACTTATTTCTCTTTCCTTGATCCCTCCCTGCATAGTCTCTGCCACACTGTCTCTGCTCCTTCCTCCTTCCTCTTCTTCTTTCCACTTCATTTTACTCTTTCTACTCCCTTACATGCTCGCGGTTTTAACGCCAGGTGAAGGATCAGACCTACTTCCTCTCGCACCTATCGCAGCAGCAGCTCTCTCGAGTCATGTTTCCCCTTGGAGCCCTCACCAAGGTACGCTCCTCACCAAGGTACGCTCCTCACCAAGGTACGCTCCGCTCAACCTGCCACTTGCCACGTGTCACCCTGTCAACCCGCCCCATGCCACGTGTCACCTTGTTAATTTGCTCCATGCCACGTGTCACCCTTTCAACCCGCCCCATGCCACGCGTCACCCACGCCTTCCCATGTGCAGTCCCAGGTGCGACAGCTGGCAGCGGCGTTCAACCTGCCCAACCAGAGCCGGAAGGACTCCCAGGGGATCTGCTTCCTGGGGAAGGTACGGCCTGGGGAAGGTACGGCCTGGGGAAGGTACGGCCTGGGGAAGGTACGGCCTGGGGAAGGTACAGCCTGGGGAAGGTACGGCCTGGGGAAGGTACGGCCTGGGAAAGTTACGGCCTGGGGAAGGTACGGCCTGGGGAAGGTACGGCCTGGGGAAGGTACGGCCTGGGGAAGGTACGGCCTGGGGAAGGTACGGCCTGGGGAAGGTACGGCCTGGGGAAGGTACGGCCTGGGGAAGGTACGGCCTGGGGAAGGTACGGCCTGGGGAAGGTACAGCCTGGGGAAGGTACGGCCTGGGGAAGGTACGGCCTGGGGAGGGTACGGCCTGGGGAGGGTACGGCCTGGGGAAGGTACGGCCTGGGGAAGGTACGGCCTGGGGAAGGTACGAGCTGGGGAAGGTACGGCCTGGGGAAGGTACGGCCTGGGGAAGGTACGGCCTGGGGAAGGTACGACCTGGGGAAGGTACGGCCTGGGGAAGGTACGACCTGGGGAAGGTAGAGCCCTTGCGATAGCTTGCAACCCTGTCCAGTCAAACAGAGCCGAAAGAACTCTCAGGGAATCTGCTTCCTGGGGAAGGATTGATTTAGCCCACTCTCCCCACTCGTTCCTACTCTTGTATCAAATTGCCCAAGCGCCTGTCTACCCTTGTACCTATCCTGTTTTTGTGTCACCGTTCATGTGTACCTACCCTTGTACCTACTCTGTTTCCATTCATGTGTCTGTGTCACCAGGTGAAGTTCCCTGAGTTTGTGGCGCGGCATGTGGGCGAGCAGGAGGGACTGCTGGTGGATGCGGAGAGCGGGGAGACCACATGTTCCTGCTCTTGTACCGAATTGCACACCTGCCTGTCTACCCTTGTACCTATCCTGCTTTTGTATCCCAGGTGAAGTTCCCTGAGTTCGTGGTGCGGCATGTGGGCGAGCAGGAGGGGTTGCTGGTGGAGCCAGAGAGTGGGGATGCGACTTGTTTCACACCCACTTGTTCCTACTCTTGTACCGAATTGCACACCTGCCTGTCTACCCTTGTACCTATCCTGTTTTTGTATCCCAGGTGAAGTTCCATGAGTTCGTGGCGCGGCATGTGGGCGAGCAGGAGGGGCTGCTGGTGGAGGCGGAGAGCGGGGAGGCCCTGGGCGCGCACAGAGGCTTCTGGTTCTTCACCATCGGGCAGCGACAAGGCATCAAGCTGTCTGGGGGACCGTGGTGAGTGAGGGAATGGCTTCTGGTTCTTCACCATCGGGCAGCGGCAAGGCATCAAGCTGTCTGGGGGACCGTGGTGAGTGAGGGAATGGCTTCTGGTTCTTCACCATTGGGCAGCGGCAAGGCATCCAGCTGTCTGGGGGACCGTGGTGAGTGAGGGAATGGCTTCTGGTTCTTCACCATCGGGCAGCGGCAAGGCATCAAGCTGTCTGGGGGACCGTGGTGAGTGAGGGAATGGCTTCTGGTTCTTCACCATTGGGCAGCGGCAAGGCATCCAGCTGTCTGGGGGACCGTGGTGAGTGAGGGAATGGCTTCTGGTTCTTCACCATCGGGCAGCGACAAGGCATCAAGCTGTCTGGGGGACCGTGGTGAGTGAGGGAATGGCTTCTGGTTCTTCACCATCGGGCAGCGGCAAGGCATCAAGCTGTCTGGGGGACCGTGGTGAGTGAGGGAATGGCTTCTGGCTCTTCACCATCGGGCAGCGGCAAGGCATCAAGCTGTCTGGGGGACCGTGGTGAGTGAGGGAATGGCTTCTGGTTCTTCACCATCGGGCAGCGGCAAGGCATCAAGCTGTCTGGGGGACCGTGGTGAGTGAGGGAATGGCTTCTGGTTCTTCACCATCGGGCAGCGGCAAGGCATCAAGCTGTCTGGGGGACCGTGGTGAGTGAGGGAATGGCTTCTGGTTCTTCACCATCGGGCAGCGACAAGGCATCAAGCTGTCTGGGGGACCGTGGTGAGTGAGGGAATGGCTTCTGGTTCTTCACCATCGGGCAGCGGCAAGGCATCAAGCTGTCTGGGGGACCGTGGTGAGTGAGGGAATGGCTTCTGGTTCTTCACCATCGGGCAGCGGCAAGGCATCAAGCTGTCTGGGGGACCGTGGTGAGTGAGGGAATGGCTTCTGGTTCTTCACCATCGGGCAGCGGCAAGGCATCAAGCTGTCTGGGGGACCGTGGTGAGTGAGGGAATGGCTTCTGGTTCTTCACCATCGGGCAGCGGCAAGGCATCAAGCTGTCTGGGGGACCGTGGTGAGTGAGGGAATGGCTTCTGGTTCTTCACCATCGGGCAGCGGCAAGGCATCAAGCTGTCTGGGGGACCGTGGTGAGTGAGGGAATGGCTTCTGGTTCTTCACCATCGGGCAGCGGCAAGGCATCAAGCTGTCTGGGGGACCGTGGTGAGTGAGGGAATGGCTTCTGGTTCTTCACCATCGGGCAGCGGCAAGGCATCAAGCTGTCTGGGGGACCGTGGTGAGTGAGGGAATGGCTTCTGGTTCTTCACCATCGGGCAGCGACAAGGCATCAAGCTGTCTGGGGGACCGTGGTGAGTGAGGGAATGGCTTCTGGTTCTTCACCATCGGGCAGCGGCAAGGCATCAAGCTGTCTGGGGGACCGTGGTGAGTGAGGGAATGGCTTCTGGTTCTTCACCATCGGGCAGCGGCAAGGCATCAAGCTGTCTGGGGGACCGTGGTGAGTGAGGGAATGGCTTCTGGTTCTTCACCATCGGGCAGCGGCAAGGCATCAAGCTGTCTGGGGGACCGTGGTGAGTGAGGGAATGGCTTCTGGTTCTTCACCATCGGGCAGCGGCAAGGCATCAAGCTGTCTGGGGGACCGTGGTGAGTGAGGGAATGGCTTCTGGTTCTTCACCATCGGGCAGCGGCAAGGCATCAAGCTGTCTGGGGGACCGTGGTGAGTGAGGGAATGGCTTCTGGTTCTTCACCATCGGGCAGCGACAAGGCATCAAGCTGTCTGGGGGACCGTGGTGAGTGAGGGAATGGCTTCTGGTTCTTCACCATCGGGCAGCGGCAAGGCATCAAGCTGTCTGGGGGACCGTGGTGAGTGAGGGAATGGCTTCTGGTTCTTCACCATCGGGCAGCGGCAAGGCATCAAGCTGTCTGGGGGACCGTGGTGAGTGAGGGAATGGCTTCTGGTTCTTCACCATCGGGCAGCGGCAAGGCATCAAGCTGTCTGGGGGACCGTGGTGAGTGAGGGAATGGCTTCTGGTTCTTCACCATCGGGCAGCGGCAAGGCATCAAGCTGTCTGGGGGACCGTGGTGAGTGAGGGAATGGCTTCTGGTTCTTCACCATCGGGCAGCGACAAGGCATCAAGCTGTCTGGGGGACCGTGGTGAGTGAGGGAATGGCTTCTGGTTCTTCACCATCGGGCAGCGACAAGGCATCAAGCTGTCTGGGGGACCGTGGTGAGTGAGGGAATGGCTTCTGGTTCTTCACCATCGGGCAGCGACAAGGCATCAAGCTGTCTGGGGGACCGTGGTGAGTGAGGGAATGGCTTCTGGTTCTTCACCATCGGGCAGCGACAAGGCATCAAGCTGTCTGGGGGACCGTGGTGAGTGAGGGAATGGCTTCTGGTTCTTCACCATCGGGCAGCGGCAAGGCATCAAGCTGTCTGGGGGACCGTGGTGAGTGAGGGAATGGCTTCTGGTTCTTCACCATCGGGCAGCGACAAGGCATCAAGCTGTCTGGGGGACCGTGGTGAGTGAGGGAATGGCTTCTGGTTCTTCACCATCGGGCAGCGGCAAGGCATCAAGCTGTCTGGGGGACCGTGGTGAGTGAGGGAATGGCTTCTGGTTCTTCACCATCGGGCAGCGACAAGGCATCAAGCTGTCTGGGGGACCGTGGTGAGTGAGGGAATGGCTTCTGGTTCTTCACCATCGGGCAGCGGCAAGGCATCAAGCTGTCTGGGGGACCGTGGTGAGTGAGGGAATGGCTTCTGGTTCTTCACCATCGGGCAGCGACAAGGCATCAAGCTGTCTGGGGGACCGTGGTGAGTGAGGGAATGGCTTCTGGTTCTTCACCATCGGGCAGCGGCAAGGCATCAAGCTGTCTGGGGGACCGTGGTGAGTGAGGGAATGGCTTCTGGTTCTTCACCATCGGGCAGCGACAAGGCATCAAGCTGTCTGGGGGACCGTGGTGAGTGAGGGAATGGCTTCTGGTTCTTCACCATCGGGCAGCGACAAGGCATCAAGCTGTCTGGGGGACCGTGGTGAGTGAGGGAATGGCTTCTGGTTCTTCACCATCGGGCAGCGACAAGGCATCAAGCTGTCTGGGGGACCGTGGTGAGTGAGGGAATGGCTTCTGGTTCTTCACCATCGGGCAGCGGCAAGGCATCAAGCTGTCTGGGGGACCGTGGTGAGTGAGGGAATGGCTTCTGGTTCTTCACCATCGGGCAGCGACAAGGCATCAAGCTGTCTGGGGGACCGTGGTGAGTGAGGGAATGGCTTCTGGTTCTTCACCATCGGGCAGCGACAAGGCATCAAGCTGTCTGGGGGACCGTGGTGAGTGAGGGAATGGCTTCTGGTTCTTCACCATCGGGCAGCGACAAGGCATCAAGCTGTCTGGGGGACCGTGGTGAGTGAGGGAATGGCTTCTGGTTCTTCACCATCGGGCAGCGGCAAGGCATCAAGCTGTCTGGGGGACCGTGGTGAGTGAGGGAATGGCTTCTGGTTCTTCACCATCGGGCAGCGACAAGGCATCAAGCTGTCTGGGGGACCGTGGTGAGTGAGGGAATGGCTTCTGGTTCTTCACCATCGGGCAGCGACAAGGCATCAAGCTGTCTGGGGGACCGTGGTGAGTGAGGGAATGGCTTCTGGTTCTTCACCATCGGGCAGCGGCAAGGCATCAAGCTGTCTGGGGGACCGTGGTGAGTGAGGGAATGGCTTCTGGTTCTTCACCATCGGGCAGCGACAAGGCATCAAGCTGTCTGGGGGACCGTGGTGAGTGAGGGAATGGCTTCTGGTTCTTCACCATCGGGCAGCGGCAAGGCATCAAGCTGTCTGGGGGACCGTGGTGAGTGAGGGAATGGCTTCTGGTTCTTCACCATCGGGCAGCGACAAGGCATCAAGCTGTCTGGGGGACCGTGGTGAGTGAGGGAATGGCTTCTGGTTCTTCACCATCGGGCAGCGACAAGGCATCAAGCTGTCTGGGGGACCGTGGTGAGTGAGGGAATGGCTTCTGGTTCTTCACCATCGGGCAGCGACAAGGCATCAAGCTGTCTGGGGGACCGTGGTGAGTGAGGGAATGGCTTCTGGTTCTTCACCATCGGGCAGCGGCAAGGCATCAAGCTGTCTGGGGGACCGTGGTGAGTGAGGGAATGGCTTCTGGTTCTTCACCATCGGGCAGCGACAAGGCATCAAGCTGTCTGGGGGACCGTGGTGAGTGAGGGAATGGCTTCTGGTTCTTCACCATCGGGCAGCGACAAGGCATCAAGCTGTCTGGGGGACCGTGGTGAGTGAGGGAATGGCTTCTGGTTCTTCACCATCGGGCAGCGACAAGGCATCAAGCTGTCTGGGGGACCGTGGTGAGTGAGGGAATGGCTTCTGGTTCTTCACCATCGGGCAGCGGCAAGGCATCAAGCTGTCTGGGGGACCGTGGTGAGTGAGGGAATGGCTTCTGGTTCTTCACCATCGGGCAGCGACAAGGCATCAAGCTGTCTGGGGGACCGTGGTGAGTGAGGGAATGGCTTCTGGTTCTTCACCATCGGGCAGCGACAAGGCATCAAGCTGTCTGGGGGACCGTGGTGAGTGAGGGAATGGCTTCTGGTTCTTCACCATCGGGCAGCGACAAGGCATCAAGCTGTCTGGGGGACCGTGGTGAGTGAGGGAATGGCTTCTGGTTCTTCACCATCGGGCAGCGGCAAGGCATCAAGCTGTCTGGGGGACCGTGGTGAGTGAGGGAATGGCTTCTGGTTCTTCACCATCGGGCAGCGGCAAGGCATCAAGCTGTCTGGGGGACCGTGGTGAGTGAGGGAATGGCTTCTGGTTCTTCACCATCGGGCAGCGGCAAGGCATCAAGCTGTCTGGGGGACCGTGGTGAGTGAGGGAATGGCTTCTGGTTCTTCACCATCGGGCAGCGACAAGGCATCAAGCTGTCTGGGGGACCGTGGTGAGTGAGGGAATGGCTTCTGGTTCTTCACCATCGGGCAGCGACAAGGCATCAAGCTGTCTGGGGGACCGTGGTGAGTGAGGGAATGGCTTCTGGTTCTTCACCATCGGGCAGCGGCAAGGCATCAAGCTGTCTGGGGGACCGTGGTGAGTGAGGGAATGGCTTCTGGTTCTTCACCATCGGGCAGCGACAAGGCATCAAGCTGTCTGGGGGACCGTGGTGAGTGAGGGAATGGCTTCTGGTTCTTCACCATCGGGCAGCGACAAGGCATCAAGCTGTCTGGGGGACCGTGGTGAGTGAGGGAATGGCGAGACGGATGTTGAGAGAGACGCCTGGCTGCGCACACGCAGAGAGCGGGGAGGCCCTGGGCGCGCACAGAGGCTTCTGGTTCTTCACCATCGGTCGCGTCGGTTCATCACGAGAATCAGATGCGCATTCAACAAGACTTCATCAAGTCTAAGGAGTTGGAGGTTGAAGAGATCCTGTCGGCGTCCTCTTCACACCTTACCGCTTTGGCGACTAAGACTGAAGACTACATCAAAGGCCTTACCACCGATCCTGAGCTCACCGTGTCTGATGCGGCGAAGGAGCGATTCCGGAAGATTAAGGGTCTGTGTATCGAGAAGGCCAAGTCGGAGGTGTCTAACGCCAGGGATGAGATCGTCATCCAAGAGCTGGAGAGGCAGAGGGTAAAGGAAGCCGAGGATTTGAAGAAGGTTGCTGCTGCCGAAGAGATGGAACAGATGGAGACGGATCCGGCAATCGACGAGCTGATTCAGAAAGCTGTTAAGAAGTCCGCGGAGACGATGCGCAGGGAGATAACAGCAAGCGTCGAAGCGAAACTTACTGCGAAGTTCAAGAAGAACTTGTCGATGGGACCACAGGATCCCAAGCCGGCCCCCGCGTCTTCGAAGCCCAAGGCGGACCCGTCCAAGGACCAGAAATCTTCTGGCGCCAAGGCAGATGTACCGAAGGCTACGAGGAAGCGCGGGAAAGCCAAGAAGAAAGTGAAATCTCAAGGCGACGGCGGAGGGAAGGGTCAAGAAGCATCCTCGACCAAGGCCCAAGTTCCAAAAAACGGCGGCGGCGGCCCAGGAAAAGGGCCGCACAAGAACTAACGATAAGAGATCTGGCGCTCCAGCGATTCGGACGACTGACTTTACGGCAGGCGCAGTCACGCGTTCGGAATCGTGGAGTACATAACCTGAGTTCTAAGGTCTTGTCTCGCGATGAGACCTTGGCGCTCGGGATGGGTCTCAAATTCATACCTACGCCTCCATGGAACTTTTCTATCGCTGCGGATCTAGATCAACTGCACCGACGGATCTCCCTTAGTCTCTTCTTCAAGGATAAAGGGTCGTCGTCCTCATCCCGTTTCCGTGTGAGGAATCCCAACTGGCGACCCGAAGGGGACGTGGTCCCGGAGCAGGTCTTCAAGTCGGCGCAAGCCGATTTATCTTTCCTGTTGAAGACGGTTCGTCCTCGCCGTGGGCACAATCTTTCGAAGAGTGCTCGGGAGGCGATCCGTTCCCTGTCGCTGAACCGCAACATCGTCATCAAACCTGCTGATAAGAACGTCGGCATCACGGTGATGGATCGAAGCCACTACGTCGCGCTCTGCATGGAACATCTCAGTGACGCAGCTGTCTACCTTCCGATTCGTCACGATCCGACTCCGGATGTTCTACGGCAGCTGAGTGAGCTGAAAGCGACATGGGGACCTGTTTTTCCTGACAGCCTGTGGAAGTATTTTTTCGATAAACCACCTGGTGGATGGCGCCCAGCGGCATTCTACATCCTGCCGAAACTCCATAAGAAAGTACCTGTGGGACGACCGATCGCCGCCTCACATTCATGGGTTACTACTAATGCGAGCAGATGGCTAGATTCGCAATTAAGACCGCTAGTACTGAAACGCGCCACCTACCTACGCGATTCCCTCTCGCTACTGACAAAGCTAGAATCAACGGCCTTTCTGCCTAACATTCTTCTGGCTACGTACGACGTTACCTCGCTCTATCCTAGCATTTCCATCGGTCGAGGGCTCGACGCAGTTAGTAGCTTTCTTATGAGGGACCAGACGCAGCTCTCCTCCCCACTCATGGCCCTGCTGGGTTGGGTCATGAGAAACTCCTTTGTTGAGTTTGACGGCCGAGTTTATCAACAGGTGCGAGGGACAGCGATGGGAACTCCGGTCGCAGTTTGCTTCGCCATACTCTTCATGAGCCGCCTTGATGAGCTGCTGAGGGAAAGGTGGACTGGGATGTCACCAAGTTACCACGTCCGATACATAGACGATGGCCTGATTCTTTGGCCAGGTACGCGGGCAGATTTAGAGGAGTACCTGCGCACCTTCAACGGCTTGGATCCTAACATCAGGATCACGTGGAACATCTCAGATCACTCGGTAGACTTTCTGGACGTGGTTCTTTCTAAGGGGCCTCGTTTTCCTGAGTGTGGTATCCTGGACTTCGGTACATTCCAGAAGCCGATGAATAGGTACCTATACCTTCCCTTCTCCTCGTTTCACCCCCGACACTGTAAGGAGGGATTCATTCGTGCCGAGCTGCAACGTTACGTACTACGTTCGACATCAGCATCGACCTTCCGAGCGACGAAGCATGCTTTCTTCCGGCGGCTTCGTGATCGGGGCTACCCCCCTGCTTTCTTGCGACCGATCTTCAGCACCGTCCTTTTCGCACATCGTGCGACACTCTTCGCCAACACTCTCGCCAACCAGCTCCAACGACAAACCTCCCCTCCCTCTGACCGTGGACCCCTAGTCTTGAAGACGACCTACACACCTGTGTCGGCTCGCCTCGGACTAGGGGTTGTTTTGAGACGTCTCAAAAGTCGTCTACTTACACACGGATTTTACATAGAGGGCTGTTTTGTTGCTTGGAAAACTGGTTGTAACCTGCAAAGGTTACTGGTTCGCGCGAGGCTCCCTGAGCACCAGCTGGCGGATTGTGTTACTTCAACGTTACGCCACGAGGAATGAAGACCCCGAAGACTTGGACTTTTCTAGGTCGTCAGGGATTGGCCAACCAGATTTCTGGCCACGGTTGCAACAACCTGGAGTTTTGTTTTCCGAGACGTAGTGTTTGCCCAAATGCTTCGTCTTCCTCATTCTCTTTCATTTTCCACTTGCACTGATGAAGGTGTGCTTGGGGCCTGTCCCGTCACCCGAAACTAGTTTGCCTCGTTTTAATCTTTGAGTGGAATTTTGAGTCGGATTTCTTGAAACTCCTTGTTTTTAGCAGGAACAACAACAGATCGTACTGTTAATCCTTTGCTAAAGATTTCTTTTAGACTGCTGCTCGCCTAATCATATGGCTCTGGTTCTTCACCATCGGGCAGCGGCAAGGCATCAAGCTGTCTGGAGGGCCGTGGTGAGTAAGGGAGGGAGTGTGTGGTTCACTCACCCCTCTGACTGTCGTTCATTCATCTCACATGCGCACACAGCACAGGGAGGCCCTGGGCGTGCACACAGAGGGGGGAGGCCCTGGGGTCACACAGTGGCTTCTGGTTCTTCACCATCGGGAAGCAGCGGCAAGGCATCAAGCTGTCTGGGGGACCATGGTGAGTGAGTGCTGCTGCTGCTGTGTGCATGCCATTCTTTAGTTCATTCACCACCACCAGCCCCCACCCCCCCCACACACACACATAGTGGGGAGGCCCTGGGGGTGCACAGGGGCTTCTGGCTCTTCACCATCGGGCAGCGGCAGGGCATCCAGCTGTCTGGGGGGCCGTGGTGAGCGAGGGAGGGTGTGTGTATCGTTTATTCACCCCTCTCACACGCGCACACAGCACAGGGAGGCCCTGGAGGTGCACAGGGGTTTCTGGTCCTTGACCATTGGGCAGTGACAAGGCATCAAGCTGTCTGGGGGACCGTGGTGAGCACGGGCTGCTGTGTGTGCCGTTGATGGTGTTTGCTCTAATCTAAGCTCACAGTACAGTGAAACCCAGGGCACGTGCAGGGGCTTGTTTTGAGGCGCCTCTAAACCCAGGGCACGTGCAGGGACTTGTTTTGAGGCGCCTCTAAACCCAGGGCACGTGCAGGGACTTGTTTTGAGGCGCCTCTAAACCCAGGGCACGTGCAGGGGCTTGTTTTGAGGCGCCTCTAAACCCTGGGCACGTGCAGGGGCTTGTTTTGAGGCGCCTCTAAACCCAGGGCACGTGCAGGGGCTTGTTTTGAGGCGCCTCTAAACCCAGGGCACGTGCAGGGGCTTGTTTTGAGGCGCCTCTTAACCCTGGGCACGTGCAGCGGCTTGTTGCCTGGGGCCACCAACACGGCTTGTTGCCTGGGGCCACCAACACGGCTTGTTGCCTGGGGCCACCAACACGGCTTGTTGCCTGGGGCCACCAACACGGCTTGTTGCCTGGGGCCACCAACACGGCTTGTTGCCTGGGGCCACCAACACGGCTTGTTGCCTGGGGCCACCAACACGGCTTGTTGCCTGGGGCCACCAACACGGCTTGTTGCCTGGGGCCACCAACACGGCTTGTTGCCTGGGGCCACCAACACGGCTTGTTGCCTGGGGCCACCAACACGGCTTGTTGCCTGGGGCCACCAACACGGCTTGTTGCCTGGGGCCACCAACACGGCTTGTTGCCTGGGGCCACCAACACGGCTTGTTGCCTGGGGCCACCAACACGGTCTTTCTCTCGCACAACTACCTGTCACCAGCCATTTCTCGCTGACAGGTATTCACACTTGTTCTAATCTCACATAACCCGCATCTCTCTTCTTTCCCCTCTTTGTCCCACCTGCCCCCCTCACCAGGTACGTTGTTGCCAAAGACACGGCCACTAACACAGTCTTTGTATCCCGTGACTACCACTCACGCAGTTCTGTTATCCGTTGCCCCATTCCCCCTCTCCCCTCCCCCCCCCCCCCCCTCACCAGGTACGTTGTTGCCAAAGACACGGCCACTAACACAGTCTTTGTATCCTGCGACTACCACTCACGCAGTTCTGTTATCCGTTGCCCCATTCGCCCTCTCCCCTCCCTTCCCCCCCTCACCAGGTACGTTGTTGCCAAAGACACGGCCACTAACACAGTCTTCGTATCCCGTGACTACCACTCACGCAGTTCTGTTATCCGTTGCCCCATTCCCCCTCTCCCCTCCCCCCCCCCCCCCCCCCCTCACCAGGTACGTTGTTGCCAAAGACACGGCCACTAACACAGTCTTTGTATCCTGCGACTACCACTCACGCAGTTCTGTTATCCGTTGCCCCATTCGCCCTCTCCCCTCCCTTCCCCCCCTCACCAGGTACGTTGTTGCCAAAGACACGGCCACTAACACAGTCTTCGTATCCCGTGACTACCACTCACGCAGTTCTGTTATCCGTTGCCCCATTCCCCCTCTCCCCTCCCCCCCCCCCCCCCCCCTCACCAGGTACGTTGTTGCCAAAGACACGGCCACTAACACAGTCTTTGTATCCTGCGACTACCACTCACGCAGTTCTGTTATCCGTTGCCCCATTCGCCCTCTCCCCTCCCTTCCCCCCCTCACCAGGTACGTTGTTGCCAAAGACACGGCCACTAACACAGTCTTCGTATCCCGCGACTACCACTCGCCAGCCAAGTCCCGGCGGCAGTTCTGGGTGGGCGGGTTCAGCTGGACGCAGGGAGGGGAATGCAGCCCTCCTTTGAGTGAACGGTCAAATCTGACGTGCAAGGTGAGGCTCTCGAAAGCCCCAGCAGAGCAGGGAACAAGCAGGCGACTCCCACTCACCTGCTAAATCTCGCCGGCAGGTTTGGGTGGGCGGGTTCAGCTGGACGCAGGGAGGGGAATGCAGCCCTCCTTTGAGCGAACGGTCAAATCTGACGAGCAAGGTGAGGCTCTCGAAAGCCCCAGCAGATCAGGGAACAAGCAGGCGACTCCCACTCACCTGCTAAATCTCGCCGGCAGGTTTGGGTGGGCGGGTTCAGCTGGACGCAGGGAGGGGAATGCAGCCCTCCTTTGAGCGAACGGTCAAATCTGACGAGCAAGGTGAGGCTCTCGAAAGCCCCAGCAGAGCAGGGAACAAGCAGGCGACTCCCACTCACCTGCTAAATCTCGCCGGCAGGTTTGGGTGGGCGGGTTCAGCTGGACGCAGGGAGGGGAATGCAGCCCTCCTTTGAGCGAACGGTCAAATCTGACGAGCAAGGTGAGGCTCTCGAAAGCCCCAGCAGATCAGGGAACAAGCAGGCGACTCCCACTCACCTGCTAAATCTCGCCGGCAGGTTTGGGTGGGCGGGTTCAGCTGGACGCAGGGAGGGGAATGCAGCCCTCCTTTGAGCGAACGGTCAAATCTGACGTGCAAGGTGAGGCTCTCGAAAGCCCCAGCAGAGCAGGGAACAAGCAGGCGACTCCCACTCACCTGCTAAATCTCGCCGGCAGGTTTGGGTGGGCGGGTTCAGCTGGACGCAGGGAGGGGCGTGCGCCCCTCCTTTGAGCGACAGCCCAACCTCACTTGCAAGGTGAGAGCAGGGAGCAAGGCAGCACCCACCCACCACACTAGTCCACCAAGTCTCGCCTGCAGTTGTGGGTGGGCGGGTTCAGCTGGACTCAGGGTGGCGAGTGCACCCCTCCTTTGAGTGAACGGCCCAACCTCACATGCAAGGTGAGAGCAGGGAGCAAGGCAGCACCCACCCACCACACTCGCCCACCAAGTCTCGCGGGCAGTTCTGGGTGGGCGGGTCCAGCTGGACTCAGGGAGGGGAGTGCAGCCCGCTTTTGCCCCAGCGACGCAACCTCACATTCAAGGTGAGACCCTCGGGAGCTCCACCAACCAAGCGCCCTCTACAGTTGTGGGTGGGGGGGGGTTCAGCTGGACTCAGGGTGGCGAGTGCACCCCTCCTTTGAGTGAACGGCCAAATCTGACGTGCAAGGTGAGAGCAAGCAAGCAAGCAGTGTGAGAGCAGGGAGCAAGGCAGCACCCACCCACCACACTCGCCCACCAAGTCTCGCGGGCAGTTCTGGGTGGGCGGGTTCAGCTGGACGCAGGGAGGGGAGTGCAGCCCTGCTTTGAATGGTCGACCCAATTTCATTTGTAAGTGCAGTGGTGGGCAGGCAATTCCTCCCTCCACATGTATGAGAAGCAAGGTAAGAGCAAGTGCCTGCTTGCGCGCATGAAAGGGTGTGCGTGCACACACGCAACCATGTCCTTTCATGAACATGAAATACCACGTTTTTATTCTTCCTCCATTCCCCCTTTCCCACCACCGACCCAACCTCCCCCCCCCCCCAATCCCCGCCTTCCCACTCCCCTCCTCTGGTCTCTTCCTCCAGGTCCACCATGGCCCCCAGTTCTACCCCTGTTCTTCAATGCGCGTCTGCTCCTGTCCCCATTTGTGCCCGTTCCCCCCCCCTTCTTTCCCCACTATACCCCCCCTCTCTCCAGGTCCGCCACGGCCCCCAGTTCTACCCCTGCTCTGTACAGTTTGCTGAACTGCCAGCGTCCATGCGTCCAGATGGAATGAACCTTCCGCCAGCAGAAACAGGATCAGCAGTAGAGGAAGCAGCAGCAGTGGAGGCAGGAGCAGAAGTAGAGGCAGAAGCAGCAACATTGGCAGAAGCAGAAGCAAAAGCAGCAGAAGCAGCAAGAGAAGGAGAGGCAGCAGCAGTGGCAGCGCTGGTGACCCTCTCCCAGGAGGATCAGGGCCTGGCTGCCGGCCAGTTTGCCAGGCAGGTAGCAGCAGGAAGGGCAGCAGCAGGAGAAACCGCAGCGCTGGTGACCCTCTCCCAGGACGATCAGGGCCTGGCTGCGGGCCAGTTTGCCGCCTTCTATGATGGCGTCACGTGCCTCGGGTCGGGCGTCATCATTGGCGTGCCGCCCGGGGACGACAGTGCGGGCGGCATGAGTGGCGACAGCAGCAGCAGCACAGTGCAGGACCAGCAGAGACCTGAGCAGGGGCTAGGTTCTGAAGCAGAGGAGGGGCAGGAGAAGAGGAAGGGACCTGTGTCAGCTGCAGCGTGGGAGACGGCAAGGCGAGGGCTGGCAGGGGTGAGGATTGGTAAGCTGAAACCACCCAAGACTGTGGAGAAAGGGAGTGGGAAGGTGGGGGGTGAGGGAGTGAGAGAGGAGGGGATGGGGAAAGGAAGGGGGGAGGGGAATGAGGTGGGGAGTGGTGAGAAGAGGAAGAGGAGGAGGGAGAGAGCAAGTCGAGGGAGGCCTGAGGCGCAGCTAGGCCAACAAGACCTTGAAGTGCAGGCAAGTGCTGGTGATTGCCAACCAGCAGAAATTGTCACAAAACGACATTAGCTGAATAGAAGAAAATGATGCTGGTAATTTTGTGTTTCGTGTTTGTTTATGCGATCTTGTAGTCCGATGTTTGGATCATGACGTGAAATAAGGTTTTTTCCAGGCCAACCTAAGAGATTGGTGATGAGTTTATCCAATAAGCACTATATTATTTGCGTGTATGAACTGCTAATATCAATGACCTCATATCGCGTATTTCCGGACTTCCCAGAGGTCGCCTTCCTTTGGCGTGTCAGAACCGCGTCGCGTCTCTCAAGCAGATGTCAGATCGACATATCTTTCACTTCTTGCCTGCTTCTTGTTCCAATCAAGTCAATCAGATGTACGCAGGTATTTATGTCCTAGTTTCCGTCCCAAAGTGAGGTACTGCTGAGGAGTAGGCACACACTTTCAAGCCGTTCTGCTTGGTAAAAGGGAAAGCTTAAGTAAGGTGAATGGAGTGACCCAATATTTCAGGCCGTTCTCCTCTTTCCGCGTTTCCATGTCGTTTGAGCCGTGTATCAACCGCGAGCCTCTTTGAGATGAACCGTCGAAATTTAGAAAAGCGCGAATTGATATAGTCGTATAATCTTAGCTCATACCTGCAGTTGGTTCTACTCCTAGTAATAGCTGAAGAGACGACGGATAGTCTTGCGTGAGAAACTTGCGATCGTGCGTCTGTACGCATTTAGATCCCCTCCTTGTTTCCACATCCTGCACGCTGTGAAGTCTTTTCATGCTGCACACCCTTGGGTTTTAGGTGTATATATTCAGTTCTTGAGGCGTCCCGAAGACTCGTTACATTGTCCTACTAGCAGGTGTACATATTGACTTTTACCCTACACAACCTTGGCCTTCTGAATCTGTACTGTCCAGGGTTAAGACTCTAGGGGCCTTCAGCCGTCGTGTAACTTGACAGTGAAGTTACATGTTTAACGAGAGCGATCTTGTAGCGAGTCCATGATCGAGCCGCGTTGAAACGGTTAAGGGAAGGTTTGAACCAGCGGAGTGCGTTGTCACACCAATAAGCAGCCATGGGTTGCTGTATATCGCGTACAAACGGTGCAGGACACCGTCAAGAAACTGCAACGCTTAACGGAGAAGCTAATAACGGAGCAGCGGTCCTGTTTCAACAGCAGGGCAGCACGCGGCAACAGTCCTTAGTAACTCCTTCCCAGAAACTAGTTGGTGCAGTGACAGCAGCACGACCGTCGGAACCATCAGCAGCGTCTGCACCGGCACCTGTAGCAGTACCAGCAGCAGCAGCAGCAACAGCAGCAGGGGCGACAGGGGTAATACCAGCAACAGCACCAGCGGCAGCACCAGCGACAGCAGCGTCTAGCATCCCCAACACCCCCATCGCTGTCTCCTCTTCAGACCCTCCCCCTCTCCCTTTCCCTCTCCCTATGGTGGTTCTAGACGATCCAGTGGAGGAGGCTATAGCGCGTATGAAGGCTGACGACGCCACGCCAGACCCTGCCGCCCTGCTGCTGCAGCGGCCAGAGCTAGGGGATGTTGCCCCGGGAATGGGGGGATTACTGGGTTTAGCCTCTTTTAGGGTTCGCGGGGAGGAGTGGGAGGGAGGTTTGGGGCTGGAAGGGAGGGGAGGAGAGGGGAGTGGGGGGGAGGGGAGAGCGGAGGGTGATTCTTTTGGAGGTGGCTATAACGAGGATGGGAATGTGATTGATTTGGAAGGGGTGCTGGATGGAGGGGAGGAGGAGGAGGAGGAGGAGGAGGAGGAGGAGGAGGAGGAGGAGGAGGAGGAGGAGGAGGAGGAGGGGGATGAGGGGGGGATTGATATGGGTGATTTACTAGCGGGGTTAGAAGGGGACGAGAGGGAGGAGGGTGGAGAAAGTGAGGAGGAGGGAGAAGGGGAGGAGGACGAGAGGGAGGAGGGGGAGGAAAGGGGAGAGGGAGGGGGGCGAGTGGGAGGAACTGAGTTGGCGTTGGGGGAGGAGGAGGGGGAGTGGGGCAAGGCGTTAGGAGACGAACTGGAAAGGGGAAGGACGATGGAAAGAGAAACGGAAGAGGGGAGGCTAGAGGCACCAGGGGAGGAAAATGGAGAGCTCGTGGTGGAGAAGGGTGAGATAAGAGAGAGAATCGGTGGTGAGCGATGCAAAGCGGTGGAGGGAGGTGGAGCAGGAGGAGTAGAAGGAAGGGAATATCTAGAACAAGGAGCGAGAGGCAATAGTTTTGAGGTGGAGGGAGGGACATACTCAGCGGAGCAAGAGCAGCAGAGAGGAGGGATTTCAGAAAGGGAGCAGATACAGTCAGAATTACTTCTGAGGCACCATGAAAGTCCCCAGGGAGGGGCATACTCAGCGGAGCAGCAGAGGGATAGGGATGTGCCTTTAGAAGGGGGGCAGAGACAGTCAGAAGAGATGGTGACTTTGGATAGAGATGATTCTCGTGGTGCTTTTACTGGCACTTTGGGGTGTGTCAATCATGAGGGTGACAATAGGGAGAGTGACAAAGGGGAGAGTGGTCACGCCTTGGGTGGTGCTAACGGTCACTTGGAGGGTACCTTTCAGCAGCTTAACGAATCAGAGAGGCGGCACTATAACGAGGATGATGTGGATATGGAGGCATTAGAGGAGCTGCTGCAGCTGTGTGCTGATGATGGTGATGGTGATGATGATGGTGATGGTGATGATGGTGGTGATGGTGATGGCGATGATGGTAATGGTGATGGTAATAGTGATGGTCATGGTTATGACCACAGGGGCACAACTGTCAGGCATGGATTCTCTTCTGAAGCTCCTCAAAACGGCTTTCCAACTGACCTTCAACACGAGCCACTGGTATCAGAGCAGCAGAGACATGACCTGGTGGCTGACCGAAACACAGATTTCCCTCATGTGACCCCCGTTGCTGACCGAAGCACAGATATCCCTCTTGCTAGCAACCACTCCTCTGCTCCTGTGAGCAACACTCCCCTCTCTCCTGAGAGCGATCCCATACAAGCAGCCTCGTTAGCAGCAGAGCGGTCGCTGGCAGCAGTGGCGGGGATAGCAGCGGAGTGCTTGGAGCGGGAGCTGAGTCGGTTTGAGGTGATCTGCCCGCCTAGCGGGGAGCAGCTGGTGGTGCTTTATGTGACGTCTCTTGAAGCCGTCAGGAAGACGCATGCTGACTGCGTGAAGATGCGAGCATTGCTCAAGGTAAGCGGTTTGCCAAATTGATGATGAGCTGAGTCGGTTTTTAGGTGATATGCCCGCCTGGAGGGGAGGAGCTGGTGGTGAAAGCTGTTAGGAAGGCGCACGCTGACTGTGTGAAGATGAGAGCACAGCTCAAGGTAAGTGGCTTGCTCACTGTTATTAGTGTATGGAAGAGGGGCGGGTCAGGGCGGGGGACGTGGCGGTGGTGCTGCATGTGCCGTCGCTGGAGGCTGTGAGGAAGGCGCATGCTGACCGTGTGAAGATGCGGTCATTACTCAAGGTGAGTGGCTTGCCGGTGCAAGTGTCTGTTTGAAAGAGAAGCAGAGAGGTGAACTGCCCGCCATGAAGGCACGCAGCCTAGCCTATCTCCATACATCCTACCACTTATCTCCCTTCCAGTCTCTTTGTCCCCCCTCCTTTTTCCAACCTTTCCCCAACCCGTCCGCCACCCTGCCTCCCACCAATCAGAGCCTTCACCTGTGCTTCCAGGAGCAAGACGTGGCGTCACACCCAGCCTATCAGGACGAGCTGCTGCTGCTATTGATTCTCTTGCACCCCGACCCTTCCAACCCCTGTCACCCCCCGCCCTTCCTCACTCGCTTCCAACCAATCAGAGCCTTTATTTGAGATTTCAGGAGCGTGATGTGGCACCACACCCAGCCTATCGGGACCACCTGCTGCTGCCGTTCGATCTCCATGCAACCTCCCACTTCTCCTTTCTCCCGATCAGGAAGCCGTTTTTGTTTTTCCAGTCAAGTGCGTCCCCTTCCCCTACCCTTCCCACCCCCCTTGCCCCCACACTCTCCCTCCCTTTTTGTCACGTACCTCTGCCAATCAGAGCCTTCACCTGCGATTCCAGGAGGGTGACGTGGCGCTACACCCAGCCTATCAGGACGAGCTGCTGCTGCTATTGATTCACTTGCACCCTTACCCTCCCACCCCCTGCTTCCCCCACCCTTCCTCACTCGCTTCCAACCAATCAGAGCCTTCATTTGAGATTTCAGGAGCGTGACGTGGCGCTACACCCAGCCTATCAGGACGAGCTGCTGCTGCTATTCGCGGGGGACATGCCACGTGTCCCGCAGCTATTCGTGCGCGGGCGGCACGTGGGCGGCACGGAGGCAGTGCTACAGTTGTACGAGGAAGGGGCGCTAGACGCCCTGGTCGTCTGGCTCAAGACAGCGGGCGGCGGCGCGGCTAGTGGGCGGCGTAGTTTGTCTGTTAGTGCTGCTTCTGCTGCTGGTGCTGGTGGTGGTTCTTCTGTTGGTGCGGGTGGGAGTGTGTGTAGGGGTTGCGGGGACGCACGGTTTGTTCCCTGCAGCCATTGCCATGGAAGCAGGAAGGTAGCTTCTGGGGGTGGTGGTGCTGGTGGTGGGGTGGGTGGGTTTGTAGAGTGTGATGTGTGTAACGAGAATGGACTGACATTGTGTCCTAGTTGTAATGGGGTGGCCAGATGAGTGTAGCTATTTTGCTTTACTACGATTCCCGTTAGAAGAAACATGTCTTTCTTTGTGCGCATTTTGCATTACAATCTGCACTGTACATGTGTACGGTACACTCCCCGTGTCGCATCACATCCGCAACCATGATTCGCACACATGCAAATGCCGACATTCATCTCATGTATCGAATGCGTTTTATTAAAGGCAACAGCCATGCTCAGCTGCTTTTAGGTAAGCAGCATAAGAATGTTGCAACACTATGTACAAATGATGGGACCACGACTAGCTTGTAACGGAACACATTGTATGGAGCTGTGTTGATGGTACTTTCACCACTCCGCTGCTTCCCTTCCCTCCCCTTGCACGAGTTCCCCTCCTCCACTACTCTCCCCTCCTCCACTACCCTCCTCCACTACTCTCCCCTCCTCCACTACTCTCCCCTCACACCGATCCTCTTGTGCAACCTCACAGCCACATGCCTTGATCCCGCTCGCGCCTCTCTCCCTGCCTGCCTGCCGGTCTGCTGCACCACCCACTCCTCAAATGGCGTCCCCAGGAGCCACCAACTGGCCTCGGACATGGGCCTGCTCACAGCCACACGCCTTGCCCTCTGCCTACCTGCCTTGGCCTTGCCCCATCCGTGCCTGCCTGCCCGTCTGCTGCACCACCCACTCCTCAAATGGCGTCCCCAGTTTCCACCAGCTGGCAGTCCGCTTGGATGCATCCAGAACACGCAGGCCCGGGCGTGGGCTTGCTGGCAGACCTACAGCCTATTTTTCACCTGCCTGCCCCTCTCCCTGCCTGCCTGTGCGTCTGCTGCACCACCCACTCCTCAAACGGTGTGCCCAGGTTCCACCAGCTGGCAGTGCGCTTGGAAGCATCCAGAACGCGCGGGCCCGGCGCATGGGCTTGTCCCAGGGCGCTGTGGCGAATTCCGTATGCGAGGTAAACGAGTGCTCCTATGGCGAGCCACGAGGAGGAGTAGAGCCACGTGGTGGCACTGGGAGGTGGGAAGAGACGGGGGGGTTGGGGAACGACAGGGGAAGGTGATTGAGAGGAAGGGGAGATGAAAGAGGGCCCGGCGTGTGGGCCTGCCCCAGAGCACTGTGGCGGATTCTATATGCGAGGTAAACGAGTGCTCCTATAGCGAGCCACGAGGAGGAGTAGAGCCACGTGGTGGCACTGGATGGTAGGGAGTGGGGGGGAAGGAGAGCGAGGGGCGGGAGGAAGGCGAGAGACGTAAGAGGGCCCAGCGCGGGGGCTTGCCCGACAGCACTGTGGCTAGTTTTGGGTCGACTCAATACCCGGTGTGTGGGCTTGCCCCAGAGCACTATGGGCTTGCCCGACAGCACTATCGCAAGGTGACTTTTGAATCGACTCAAAAGTCACCTAGGGCCAAGCCTGTGGGCTTGCCCGACAGCACTATCTGGTTTTTGAGAATTCTCAAAAACCCGGCGCGTGGGCTTGCCCGACAGCACTATCGCGAATTCCGTTGGCGAGGTAAACGACCGAGTGGCTTTACTCCGGTGTGACGAGGATGCTGGCGAGGAGAAGGGAACCACACTCCCTCCCAGGGGCACTAGCACCGTGCTTGACTCTGCTTGACTCTGCTTGACTATGGTTGACTAGGGTTGACTCGTACCCACCCCATGTTCGCCATGAGATACACGCTGACGAGGATGCTGGCGAGGGGAACACCCAAGGGCACTGGCACCCTGCAAGAAGGGCGTTGACCCTGGTTGACCTTTGTTGACTTTCTTGACTTTGCTTGGCTCAGCTTGCCTAAGCTTGACTTTCTTTACTTGCCCCCTCACCCCAGATTTGCGTTACGGTATGCCAGGAAAAAGATCTGCTTTTGAGTCGACTCAAAAGCTGAGTCGACTCAAATGCGATAAGGTATACCTTGACAAGGATATGCTGGCAAGGAGTGCAAAGCAACAAAGCTTCAACAGACGCCAAAGGGTGGTCGAAAGCTAGTCCTAGGAAACGTTAAGAGTCACATAGAGCCATAAACAATCATGGAGAAAAGAATCCCGGTGCACTTCTGTAGCACGTTCGGCTACGTGTACAAGTGGAAGCGAGAACCTTATCAACCCTTCAGTAGCATGTACGTGTACGTTCGAACCCGCTACTGAAGTGCGCTGGGATCCTTTGCTCCATGCGCTGAATTTCAATGCCTCCATGCGACTCTTGAAGTTTTCGAGGACTAGCTTTCGATCACCCGTCAGCACCCATAAGCACCCTCTAGAACCCTGGGAGGAGGGCATGACTCTGGTTGACTCTGGTTGCCTCGTACTCACCCAGGATGGCCATGAGATACACGTTGACAACGATGCTGGCAAGGGGAAACCACAGCACTGGCACCCTAGGAGAAGGGTGTTGACTCTGCTTGACTCACTTTGACCTGCTCTCACTCACCCTAAATTGGCCATGAGGTAGACGTTGACCAGGATGCTGGCGAGGGGAAGCCACGGCACCCGGCATTGACTCTAATTGAAATGCTTGACTCTGTTGACCTGTGAGGCTGGTACTCACCCTAAATTGGCCATGAGATACACGTTGACCAGGATGCTGGCAAGGGGAAGCCACGGCACCCAGGGACAGTGGAACCCTGAGAGAGGGCGTTGACTCTGGTTGACTCTGGTTGATCTGGTTGACTCGTACTCACCCTAAATTGGCCATGAGATAGACGTTGACAAGGATGCTGGCAAGGGGAAGCCACGGCACCCAGGGACAGTGGAACCCTGGAGAGTGGTTTTTGTTCGAACAGGGAGTAGGGGTGGGAAAAAGGGGGAGGTGGAGGAAGAGTGGGAAAGGTCTATTTAGACGTCTGGGAAAGTAAAGGATACAGGAGAGGGGAAGGCACGGCAACAACGGACACTAGAACCCTGAAAGGTTGATAGTGAGTCAAACTTTTGAGAATTCTCGGAAGTGACTCATGGAATCTTGGAAAATTAAAATTTGAATTCGAGTGTGTAATCCGCCTCACCTCCTGCTGATCCGAACTGGTGCCTTCCTTCGTCCTCATTGATACATCCAAACGTTGCTGCCCCCCCGAGGAACAGTGCACCACCCAGAGAGAATAGTAGGAGAGGAAGCCAACTGGTGGGAGTGGGGACGGGAGAAGGAACAGAAGAAAGAAGAGAGAGGAGAGGATGGGGGACAGGAGAGAGGGTAGGTGACAGGGAGGAGGGTAGGGGACAGGGAGAGGGGGTGTGGTGGAGGAGACATGGGACAGTTGGCAAGGGAGAGAATTCAGCAGTAGTGGCAGCTGGCCTCTTGCGCCACTGTGCACAGGCGTTGCTATATTCATTAGAGAGATATGGATGTGTGTCTGCAGCATAACCTGTATTTCTTACCCTGACAAGCTGTGTAAAGAGGGGAAGCGTTACCACTCACTCTGAACTGGGACTGAACTGGGGAGGTCAGCAGAAGACGAAGCCACAGCAGCAGCATTGGCAGCAGAAGTGGCCACGGCAGCAGACGCTGGAAGGAGGAGAATCGTTACTCACTCTGAGAAGCTGTTTAGAAACGGGAAGCGTTGCAACTCACTCTGAAAGGTCAGCGGAAGACGAAGCCACAGCAGCAGCAGCGCCAAGCAGAGGGGCACCCAGGGAGACGGCAACGATGGCTCGAGAGGCCAGGCGTCTGTGCTGTGGGATGTGAGGCTGTGGAGAGGGGGGGGTGATTACTCACTTTGCTGTACTGGGGAGGTCAGCAGAATCCGCAGCAGCAGCAGCGGCCACCCCGAGGAGTGGGGCTCCCAGCGAGACAGCAACGATGGCTCGAGAGGCCAGGCGTCTGTGGGATGTGGGTGCAGTGGCGGCTGTAGCAGCTGTAGCGGCTGTAGCAGGACCTGTCACAGCAGGTGTGGCTGTAGCAGTGACTGTAGTAGGTGTGATAGCAGTGGGGTGAGCAGAATCCTGTTTCCTGACTCCTAGAGTGTTGCCCCCAGTGGCAATGTCAACGGCAGCTTCATCACCCATTCCCCTCGGTACTGTGGCATTGTATTCGGTGGAAAGGTTTGCTGTATGGTGCTGCTTCTCCTCTTCTCGCTCTTCCCCTCCCACCTCCTCCCCTTCCTCATCCCCTCCCTCTTCCTCACTCTCCTCCTCCTCCTCCCCTCTTCCGTCCTCCCTCTCCTCCTCATCCCCTCCCTCCTCCCCCTCCCCCTCTTCCGCCCTCTCTTCAAGCAATCGAGCCAGCAGTGGTGCTTGAAACGAGTTGGGCGTGAGGGAAAACACGGACTGCAGCTGGCCGTTGGATCGGATTTCAACGGCCGGAGATGTACCCAGGCTGTCCGGCGAGCCCATGTGCCTGAACACACTGGATTGGCCGACCGGGAGCGGGGAAGAGACAAAAAAACCCACCCCTGCGGCGGCAGTTGGAAGGGAGGATGTTATATACTGGGGTCGAGTGGGGGGAGAGAAGGTATAGGCTGGTAGGGGGCGGGAGGAGGAGGATGTGGGGTGGTAAAGCTGGTTGTTGGAGGAAGAAGAGGAGGGGAGTGAAGGGGGGTGTGAGGAGGGGAGAGGGGTGGGAGGAGAGGAGGGAGGGGTGTAGCGAAGGATGAGGACTGAGAGGCTGACAGTGGTGAATGCGAGAAGGGTGCCCACACTGACCTGGTGTGGGCATGGGGGAGGCAGACAGGGAGAGAGGAGGAATGGAGGCGAAAGTGAGTGGAGGAGGATGGGAGAAAGAGTTTAGATCAAAGAAGGATGAGGAGTGAGAGGCTGACAGTTGTGAAGGCGAGGAGAGTGCCCACACTGACCTGGTGTGGGCATGGGTGGGGGGGAAAGGGGGATGGACAGGAGACGGTGATAATGAACGAAAGGTATTTGCAGTTGATGGGTATGTGCAGCGAAGGATGCGGACACTGACGGTGGTGAAGGCGAGGAGAGTGCCGACACTGACCTAGTGTTAGCATGGGGGAGGAAGACAGGGAGAGAGGAGTGCGAGAGAAAGGGAGGAGATGGGCAGATGATCAATCACTGAAGGATGAGGGCTGAGAGGCTGACAGTGGTGAATGCGAGGAGGGTTGGTTGGAAGGAAGAAGAGGGTAAGAATAGACAAGATGACTCTGAAAACCATCCCATGATTACGCCCCCCTCCTCACCATGGTCCCACTTAGCCCCCCTCCCGCCCCCTCTCCCACCACCCCCTTCCAACCCACCATGCCTGACAGCTGCCCGATATCCAGCACAAACGCCATGGCGGCGGCCAATAGCCCATGCGAGCTATGCTGCCCATGCATGCTCCCCATGCTGTGCATGCTCCCCATGCTGTGCATGCTCCCCATGCTGTGCATGCTCCCCATGCTGCCCATGCATGCTCCCCATGCTGCCCATGCTCATGTGATGAGACGATTTTTGAGTCGGCTCAAAAATCGACCGCACCCTACCCATGCTCCCCATGCTCGTCACATGGAAACGCCGCACGGAAAATCCTGCTCCTGTTCCCCCCTTCCCCCCACGCACCATGCCTGACAGCTGCCCGATATCCAGCACGAACGCCATGGCGGCGGCCAATAGCCCGGTGACAGCTGTCGCGTTCTGAGGTACGCCCGTGGCCTTGTCGATGCGGCCGAACCAAGCTGGGAGGAGGCCGTCGCGGGCCATGACCATGAGTATGCGCGGCTGTGGGGGAGGGGGGAGAAGGGGGAAGGGGTGTGAGGAGGAGAGTGAGGCGCATCACAAATGGAACCAGGCAGGGAGGAGGCCGTCCCGCGCCATCACCATGAGGATGCGCGGCTGGGGAGGGGGGAGGGAGGGGAGTGTGTGGGTCATGTATGGGGAGTGTATATGGCGTGTGATGGAACCAGCAGGTGGAGATGCGACCAGCACCCGAAGCAGCAGGGACTCGAGCAATTATCCATACCAGACAAATGGGAAAAGTGCTTAAATCTATCAGATGCAAATAGGGGCAGCAGGTGAGATGCGCATGCATGGCACCTACCACCTGTCGTGAGATGCGCATGCATGGCACCTACCTGGGGCAGCAGGGATCCGAGGAGAGTGGTGGAGAGAGCTGCGAGCGCACCCCCTGTCACAAGGTACCTGCAATACAAGCACATGTGCGGTACAGGCACATTTAAGCTACAAGAACATGTGAGGCGTCTCAAAGTTGGAGAGAGCTGCAAGCGCACCCCCTGTTACGAGGTACCTGTGATACAAGCACAAGTAACATACGAACACGTGTGCTGCAGTACATGCAGATATGTGATATGCTATACAATCACGTATCTCGCGATTTGCACAGTTTCATCTCAGACATATGAGGTGCATCCACTCGATGACTCTCTCACTCTCTTACACATATGCACACTCTCTCACTCTCTTACACATATGCACACTCTCTCACTCTCTTACACATATGCACACTCTCTCACTCTCTTACACATATGCACACTCTCTCACTCTCTTACACATATGCACACTCTCTCACTCACTCGCTTGACCCACTCTAGGTGGTACGTCTGGAACGCCTGAGATTTGAGGCAACACACTCTCTCACTCACTCCCTCACTCACACTGTCAATTACTCTCTCACGTCACTCCCTCACTCACTCTGTCCATCACCCTCTCACGTCACACTTTGCCCAGTGATGAAGTTGTACCACTCCATGGTGTCCAGGGCGAAGTGCCCAGTCCAGGTGGTACGTCTCGAAGGCCTGAGCCATGGGCGTGTCAGGGTCAATGCGGTCAAACGGAGTCGACCCCACCAGCATCACCACTCCCTCACACCCTCCCTCTCCCACTTACTTGGCCCAATCCAAATGGTAGGTGTCAAACGCCTGAGCCATGGGTGTGTCCGGGTCAATGCAGTCAAACGGAGTCAGCCCCACCAGCACCGCTGCTATCACCATGTAGAGAGCGCCACAGCAGGTAAGGGACAGGCCTATCCCCAAAGGCAGGTCGCGCTGAGGGTGCTTCACCTGCGTATAGGGAATCGGGGAAAGGGAATTGGGGAATAGACAAGCGTAAATATAGGCAGGTAGACCGTAGAGTGGCGATATCACCATGTAGAGAGCGCCACAGAGCGTCAGGGAAAGGCCTATGCCGAGAGGCAGGTCCCTCTGAGGATGCTTCACCTGTGTTTAGGGAATTGGGGAGGGGAGAGCTTTGGGAGGAAAGAAGAGGAGGGTTAGTGTGGGAAGGGAGAGTGCCGGTAGCTATGGTAGGACGAGTGTGGCCCTATCACCAGGTAGAGAGGGAGAGAGAGCTGCAGCACGTCAGCAACAGGCCTATTCCTTGAGGCAGGTCACGTTGAGTGTGCTTCATCTGTATCAAGCACGATATTCAAAGAATCAAATGCTAGCAAGCTGATTGAAGCCACACACGTACGTGAAATGGTGATAGTAGCCTACATATAATCAGCTGTGCTTTCACGAATGTCGGATGTGTCAGAACCTGAGCTTAGTATTCATGCACTAGTAATGAGCTCAAGGCTCTTTAAGTACATCGGAAATGGGCAAGGTAAGGATGGGGAGAGAATCGGGGGCAATCTTAGGGGATTGGGGGTAATCCCAAGGCAATCTCCAATTGGTGGGTTGGAGATTGCTTGGAGATCACATTTGGGTTTGGTTAGGATGTAAGTGTAGACCCAACCAAACACAATGTGCACACTACACTAAGATACTAAAGTGCAGGTACAAAATGTGAGATTGAGGGCTAACACTAACAGGATGATCCAGCGTAAGTCAAGAGATGTAAGAGAAAAATGCCATTGAGTTAACAGCTAGCATGCCATTAGTGCCCTCGAGTCACTTACCATGCCTCTTCTTCTGTGCTTGCAACAGTGTCAACTCAAATATAACGAGTGAAAAGAAGCAAGATCAAGTTCAATTCAGCATACATAGGCGAGTTCACTGTTCACTTAGCATACCTCTTCTGCTGTGCTGGCTACGGTGTCGAACCCAATGTACGAGAAAAAGGCCATTGCAGCTCCCCCCAGCAATCCCGACACTCCGAATGGTAGATAGCTGGAATAGAAAAGGCGAGATGGGGGAGAAGCAGGGGAAGGAGGGCAAAACGAAAGCAAAGAAGGTAATCCCAGCTAGCATTCCAGGCACACCGAACGGTACATAAACTGGGATTGAGAGCAAAGATGGAAATGTAAGTGATTACACACCTTCTCAGGGAAATGAACAGCAAAGAAAAGTAAGAATTTTGCCACACGAGGGCTTGGAAACTCAGAAAGGAATGGTAAGGGTCTGAGTTTGCTTTAAGAGTTTAAATGAAAGGAAACATAACAGGGTTTTGAGATGACTCAAAACATGGAGACAGATGGAGGGGAGGTGAGGGCACATAGGGTCTGCATTCGAGTCAAAGGAAATGTAACAGGTTACCACCAACACAAAAAACCACAGCACAAGCACTCACAGCACAAGCACCCACAGCACAAGCACCCACATCAAAAGCACTCATCACAAGCACCCACATCCTCCCAAGATTACTGCATCATAATCACCCACCTTGGAGACTCCTTGTACCCCGGCCATCCGTAGGTAAACCCTATCCATGCCCCTGCCACTGCCACAAACAGCAGTATTATCACATTTGCTATTGTCATACCCATCTGGAAATTGGCGCTCTGCAAGGGCAAGAGCGGAAACGGACGAGAGGGATAGTGAACAGAAGCAGAATAGAGGGACACTTGAGTGAAGCAGTACAATCACAGGGTTAAATATCCAACAAACAAAGTACCCACTGTCCCAAGAATCGGAACTTGTTTCCTGTGCCGTCAAGCGAGGTTCAGGAAGGTGCTGAGCTGGCAGCCCGGCAGCCCGTCCCTGCTTCCAGGCTGCCAGCTCAGCACCTTCCTAAACCTCGCTTGACGGCGTAAGAGACACGTTCTTATTCTCAGGGTTGATTCCCTTGCCACCTTATCCTCATCTGGATATTGGCGCTCTGCAAGGCAAGAGCAGAAAGAGAGCGGAGGGATGTTGCAACGTAAGGAAGAAAAGAAAAGTGAAGAAAACAGACAGACACACGAACAGCACAATCACAATCGCTACTATCTTCCTCCTCCTGCGTCTTCTCCCCCTCTTCTGCCCCGAGCTCAAGCACTCAGCCAACGTCTTTTCAATCCATTGCTAGAGCGGCGGTTTCTGAACGGCTCAAGTGCCTTGTGTTGTTGCACTGCTTAGGATTGGAGGAGGAGGAGTGGATCGAACTGCTTGCCGTCTGAGCTAAGTTGGAGGAGCTTAGGGTTCAACTGAATGACAAATTTTCAGATGAAGCGGTGGCGAGAAGCAGACTGGATGCGCTCACTAGATTCACAGTCAAACTAGTGAGCGCATCCAGTCTGCTTCTTGCCACCGCTTCATCTCAAAAGTTGTCATTCCGTTGAACCCTAAGCTCCTCCAACTTAGCACAGACGGCAAGTAGTTCGATCCACTCCTCCACCTCCTCATCGAGAAATTGACACTTTGTTATGAAGAGAAACAAAAGAGAGGGAAGTTAAACAAAAGAGAGGATACTGAACAAAAGACGGTTAGAGCCCACGTAAAACATACTCACAAACTCACACCCCAGGTGGCGCTCTGCCTCATATTCGTGAACGCAGCTACCTGATGCCGGCAGACAGCAGCGCAGTGACGAGAGCCACCATAAAGGCAGCACACGGAGGGATCCAACACTATAGTCAGTCAACGCACCTCTTTAATGCCGGCAGACAGCAGTACCGTCAAAGCAGCCACCATGATGGCAGCGCACGGATCCAACACTATCATGGTGCCTGGGATGGGTAGGCGAGCCATCCTCCCACGTGTTGCCCTAAAACATACCTCTCAGACTCACGCCAATACAATCACACACCTCAGCAGTACCGTCTTCGCAGCCACCATGAATGCAGCACACGGATCCAACACTACAGTGGTGCCTGGGACTGGTCAGTCAACGCACCTCCTTTATGCCGGCAGACAGCAGTGCCGTCACCGCAGCCACCATGAGGGCAGCGCACGGATCCAACACTACAGTGGTGCCTGGGACTGGTCAGTCAACGCACCTCTTTAATGCCGGCAGACAGCAGTGCCGTCACCGCAGCCACCATGAGGGCAGCGCACGGATCCAACACTACAGTGGTGCCTGGGACAGGAAGGCGGGCAAGGATGAATGGCAAGCTGTCCGCCCCTCCCAACGCCGTTGCCTGAACAGGTGGTTGGGGGGCGTGGGGAAGTATGTGAGAGACGATAGAATGAATTAGGGAACGTATAGGCATCTATGGAAAACAAGACAGGTAGGCGGGCCGGAGTTGAGTTGAGACAAGGCGTGCTCTCTGTCTGTTGGTCTGTCTGTTCGTTTTTACAAGGGTTAAGAAATGAGTCATGAAAGGACGCTACAAGATTGCATGCATGCATAGCTGAATGCACGAAACATCCCCAACACTTGCAAAATCGCCCCTGATTGTGCAGAATTACCAGGTTCGGTGAAATGCCTCGAGCCACTGCTGCTCCACCCACGGTGTACTCGAGAATGAGCGCCCAGCCGATGAGCCATGCCACCCTGGTGACAGCAGCGAGGGGGGATAACAGAGAGACGCATTGAGAATTGCACAGATCGTGTGAATGAAGAATGCCTCGAGCCGAGCCACTGCTGCCCCACCCACGGTATACTCTAGAATGAGAGTCCAGCCGATCAGCCATGCCACCCTGATGGAGTCAGCAAGAGGGGACAACAGAGAGACGGTTGAAGTTGACTCACAAGTCAAAGATGCATTGACTGTGCAACACTCCTCGAGCCACTGCCACCCCACCAATGGAGTAATCAACTTCAATCACACTTCCCCCAACCCCACTCGCACTTCCCCAACCCCACTCACACTTCCCCAACAGTCGTATATGCATAGTGGTAGGCACTCCCAGCGGACGGGCAGCGACTGGCAAATTCGGCAGCAGAAAGCAGCCAAGCCCGCCGCCACGCCTGCTATGGTGGTGGAACCATCTACAACACTACCACACCCCCCAAGCACACTCACACTTCCCCGACGGTTGTGTAGGCGTAGTGATAATCTCTCCCAGCGGACGGGCAGCAACTGGCAAGTTCGGCGCAGCAGAGAGCAGCCAAGCCCGCCGCCACGCCTGGTATGAGGAAGGAGAGTCATCTAGGCGCCTGCACTTACACCTTTCCAGTCCCTGCTACCCAACCCACTCACACTTCGCCCACAGTTGCGTAAGCATAGTGATATGCACTGCCAGTGGACGGGCAGCGACTGGCGAGCTCAGCATAGCAGAGAGTAGCAAAACCCGCAGCCACAGTGATTCTACGTCTCTCCCACACCCCTCAAGCACACTCACACTTCTCCAACTGTCGTGAAAGCGTAGTGGTAGGCACTCCCAGCAGAGGGACACTGGCTGGCGAGCTCAGCATAGCAGAGAGCAGCCAAGCTCGCAGCCACTCTTGCTATGACACTGAACCAGAGCGTGTTTTTTGAGAATTCTCAAAAAACACGTCTTGCTATGATACTCAACCATCTTCCACCTCCACACCCCCAAAAACACACTCACACTTCCCTCACGGTGGTGTATGAATAGTGGTAAGCACTGCCAGCAGAAGGGCAACGACTGGCGAGCTCAGCATAGCAGAGAGCAGCCAAGCCCGCCGCCACAGTGATTCTACAGCTCTAACACACCCCCCAAGCACACTCACACTTCTCTGACTGTCGTGTAAGCGTAGTGATAAGCACTCCCAGCAGAGGGACACCGACTGGCGAGCTCAGCGTAGCAGAGAGCAGCCAAGCCCGCCGCCACGCCTGCTATGAGGAGGAAGGTGAATCGCCTGCATAACGGCCTGCACTACACCTTCCGCATTCCCCCATACCACTCACACACACTCACACTTCCCCAACAGTCGTGTACGCGTAGTGATAGGCACTCCCAGCGGACGGGCAGCGACTGGCGAGCTCAGCGTAGCAGAGAGCAGCCAAGCCCGCCGCCACGCCTGCTATGAGGAAGGAGACGGGCAGCGCCGGTCCGGCCTTCTCCCGTGCCACTGTGCCAATGAGAACGTACACTCCCGCGCCTATGGTCGACCCCACTCCTGTTGTAGGTGCGGGAGAGAGGTGCAAGGGAGTGGTAAGTGTTGTAGGGGCAGAATCTGGAGCTGCCTGCTATGGGGAAGGAGAAGGGCAGCGCACCCCGGCCCTTCTCCCGTGCCACGGTGCGTTATGGTTGACCTCACCCCTGTGGTGGGTGGGTGGGATGGGATGGGATGGGATGGGATGGGATGGGATGGGATGGGATGGGATGGGATGGGACGGCATGGGGTGGGACGGGACGGGGCGGGACGGGATGGGATGGGATGGGATGGGATGGGATGGGATTGGATTAGACCAGATAGGATATGATTGGATGGGATAAAATAGGATAGGAGATGGGATCGGATCCGATGGTGTAGGATGGGATGTGGTGTGATCAGGGTGTGACCCCGCCAGGCCGTTAGGCACGCGAGCACTCGTCTTAGAAAACGCCCGGATATCGGATCAGATCAAGCTCAGATCGTACCGAGTAGGGGAGTGGTTTGGAAGCGGAGACTTGCTCCTAGACTGGTTCAGACGGGATGGCTGGGGTCGGACGGGACGTAGTGGAAAGTAGCGCAAGCATGCTCGTTGTCTCAGCAGATCTCCGTTTGGAAATCCGGACCGTGACGGCCTGAAGCGCACCTAGTGGGATGGAGTCAAGCGTAATTACCGGGATGGAATAAGGCGTACCTAGCGGGATGAGCTGCCAGAACGTGAGGCACTTCGGAAGCGGCGCCGCCATGAGGTTCGTATGCGACTGAGAGTGCTTCAATCGGAACATCCCTCCCCACGAATTATGCCGGGTAAACCCCCCTCGCCTTGTAGTACCCGATCCTCCGCCATTCCCCGCTCCTCCGCGTTCCCCGCCGGATTCCTGAATCCTACGGTAGCCGGAATCGTGGATCTGCGGTTGAGATCCCCATTGGGGGGATGGATGGTGCGGATACGCGCCACCAGCGCCAGTTCGATCTGACGGTTGAGAACTCCCGAGGGGAGTCCCACCGTGATGATCTAGAAAACCTCCACGGCGATCCATGCTGACCGATGCCTGTCCGCAAAAAAGTATCGGAGCGTACTCGTTACAAGAATTAAGCTCCTATCGGTGCATGGACTAAGCCCATAGGAGTTACTTTCCCACCATGATGCGCACAATCTGAAACAGCTTTGAATGCGGAGCGATTTCTATCAATCTAGTTGTGCGGCTGGCGGCGCGTGAAGCTACACGTCGATCAGAACAGCTTATAATTGAAAACTCCCATTCTACGGCTGTCTCGCGACTCGTTCAAACGCGGCTATCTCCTGCCAGCGGGTGTGGTAAAGTAACCGACACAGTAAAGCGTGTCAATATGCTGGCGTGTCAAGAAGAGGTAGGTGCCAGCGCTAGCGGTTTCGGTTACACCAAGCAGGAGCTCCCTGCTGCTAAAGAGGCAGTGGCTTGTTCCACCGTTCGAAACGTCTCATTTCTCTGGTCTAGTTTCCATCGAGCTTGTCAGGAGAAGGATTTTGTCGCGCGATTGACGGGGAAACTGAAGTCGTTGTCGGAAATTTGAACAGAAAAGGTTGGAGCTTGTACGTGGCACGCGAAATCATATTGGCCCTGTTCGACAGGCTAACACCGACGGCCGCGGAATCCTCGCAGCTCTTTCGTTTTCACATTTTTTTCCCACGGTCAGCCCGTAAAATGCGCAATTGGGGCATTAGCCCCCGCTAACCTGTTGGCAGAGTGTTAGCCTGTCGAACGCATCCGATAATTGACCCCTTCGCCCTCTCAGAAAGAACCGCGAGCCTTCCCGCACTGGCAAAGGTCTAGTCCTCGCCTAGCCTAACCCTCGCCACACAAAAGTGGGGTTTGCCAAAGGGCTCGCCAAGTGTTTGCAGTGGGGGGAACACCCACTCCCTGGACTCTAAAATGGGTCCTTGTGAACCCGTTTGGGCGGAAAAATCCTTGTGAGGCGAGCGATTTGTGGAGAAGGCCTTTTTTTTTTTTTCCCGCGATGTTACCCAGACCCCTTTGGAAAGCGGCCCAGACTATTCTACTGTGCCCGCCAAAAGGCAGGTTGAAGGGGGCGGGCAGCTTCGCCTAGTGGGCCCCGCTCCTTCTGGCTACTCACGAAGCTTCAGCGGTCGATCAGCTCGGAGAAGGTGCGGTGAGCCCTCCTCTTAACACTAACCTAACACTAACACTTTGCAGAGTGTTAGCCTGTCGAGCAGGGCCTTGAGTCAGCACGCTGGGAGCTTCCTTGCTGGACAACTGGAGAAGCATGTGTTTTCGAGGGTTTCTGATTGGTGGTTATGCCACATCAGCGTCGAGACACAATGCCATGCCACCCAAGTCTGCGTCAACGACACGAATGCATGACTCAACGCGTTCCTGGGCCACCAAACCCGATTAGACACGATTCGATTCAGCTGCGGCTGATTGGTAGAACACGGAACATATATTCATGGCATTCAAGTTCGATATACAGATAATATTTCATTCAAGGTGTACGTGAACGCAATCAGGGGGAATACATCTGACAGTGACAAAGATTCTCCTTCAGCCTCCGTACATTCCCAATCCTGACTGCAGCTCCAACTTGTGAAGAGTTGCTGGTGGAATAGAATCTCGGGATTATCACAAGCAAGAAACAAGGGTGAGAAAGTAGGGTTAGCAAATCTTGAAACTGTTTCGAAAGGTTACTGATGACTGAAAACATGAAAGCCAGAGCCAGAATCAGTCTCCCTGCCTGCACACATGTCAGCACCCAAGGGTAAGACTGGCTAGTGCAAGCTTTCCATGTTTTGAGATGTGTCGATTTCCTAAAGCTGCAAATGTGAGGGCTTGACAAAGCCTGTAAAATGTGGGTCCCACAGTCTCCCAGCCTGTGCATGACTGAGCACAGCACAGGACAGGAAACGGCAGGAAACCGGCTTGACTCAGTCATTCAAATGTGGGTCCCACAGTCTCCCAGCCTGTGCATGACTGAGCACAGGAGAGCGCCTTTGGTACAGCAGGACCCAATTCCCATCCCTGCCACTGCCGCCCATTGCTCCTCTCGCTCGTGCATGCCGTGTGGCACACAGAGAGAACGAGAGCACAAGTGATGGCCGTGACTGAGAGGGGTGCTGCTGATATGGGAGAGGTTGCGAGCGTGGAGCATGGGAAGCTTCCGAACATGCCACTGGGGCCCTCTCCGAAGGGATAGATGGGCAAACAGAGGGATGGACAGACGGATGGGCGGTCAGAGAGGGGAGTGGACGGACGGACAGCGGACGGTCAGCGGACAGACAGTGGGGCGGACAAGGAGGGAACCATGGAGTAGCAGAGTAGAACTAAAGTACGCACACATGGGTGTTTTGAGCATTCATCTAGACTTATACGCACTCAAATACACTTCTACTCGTTCGACAATCAAGCTTCATTCAACAATTCAACAGGAGGGGTAAGAAACCTGCGGGAGAGGATCAATCAGATCAGCGAGCTGTGCTTTTGAGTCGACTCAAATCTCGACTCAAAGTTAAACAATTGAGCAGGAGGGGTCAGACACTCCGGCCGGAGAGGACCAATCAGATCAGCCAGCTGAGTCTGTGGCCAGCAACCAATCAGAGCAGAGGCAGAGACAGAGAGAGTCAAGAGAGGAGGAAGGGGATTGAGAATGAGAGAGATTGAACGAGAAAAATACTTCCCGTTCCCTCCCATGCCCCCTGTCTTCCTACCCTGAAACCTGCTGTCTGTTGCTCCTGTCTGCTTGGACGCATGGCTGCAAACACGGCCGGTGATGGTCAGAATAAGTAGCTTTCATCATTCCCCTCTGCCATTCAGTAATCGATTCATTGATTCAGGTATTTATAATAATTCATAAAAGATCGCATATACGCTTTAGAGGCGCACTTACAGAAGCGCGAAGGGAAAGGGTTGCAATAAGGAGGACATCGAGTAAGAGGATAAACAATGAGGGCATGCATACCACAGAGACAACTAAAAGTCACAGCAGGAAAGTGGGCGAATGCAAAGGGGGCCAAAAGAACAAGCTCCTGCATTGACTCACTCAATAGACATCATGAAATTCGATGCTTGTGCATGTTCAGAGAGCAAACGGAGCGAAGTCAACAGGTGAACTTCAGAGACGACTCGTATGTCATGGCAGGCGGGTGGGCGAAAAACAAGGGGGCAAAAAAAGAGGTGCCAAAGGGCCGAGTTCAATAGGTGAACTCGCTAATAAACCAATCATATAAGCTCAGAAACATGTGTATGTTTTAAAAGCGCCCTTATTATAAGGGCTAGAGGGATCAGGGACGGTTGATTTTTGGTAGCCAATCACAGCACGCATCGGCTCGCCACCACCAGCCAATCAGAGCAGAGGCAGAGACAGCGAGACTCAAGAAGCAAAGGAGCGCCTGGGAGAGTGATCAAACAAGGAAAGTCTTCCTGTTCTCTTCCCCCTGTGCTCCTCTCCACTCCCTTGAACCTCTCTGCCTGCTGCGTGCTGCTGAATGAACAGGAGGCAGCGAGGGCGGCCAATACATGACTCAGATGGGGTTGATTTCCATCATTTCCCTCTGAAGTTCAGCTCTCCAGTTAGCTTGTGCGGCAACATGCCACTGCTTTGACTGATTGGTATTAGGAACTGAAAGCAAAAGAGAGGAACGAGAGCATGAAAGAGTTTGAACGAAAAACTCCTTCCAGTTTGCTCTCTCGCCGCTTCCCTGAGGATGGGCGAAATTACAGGGAGAATAGAGACCAAGTTCGACAGGTGAACTCCCTGATCTGATAAACCATTGATGTAAGGGCAGGAGCATGTGATTATCTTAAGCGCGCCCTTAAGATTATGGGCTAGAGGGATCAGGTTGTGTGTGGATGGAACGATAGCCAATCACAGCGCGCATGGGCTTCCATTCACCACCACCAGCCAATCAGAGCAGAGGCAGAGACAGCGAGACTCAAGAGAAGAGGAAGGAGCGCCTGGGAGAGTGATCAAACGAGGAAATTCTTCCTGTTCTCTTCCCCCTGCACTCCTCCCCCGTCCCTGAACCCCTCTGCCTGCTGCGTGCTGCTAAATGAACAGAAGGCAGCGGGGAAGGCCCATGCATTACTCATATCGACAGGTGCAATCTCCATCATTTCCCTCTAAAGCTGATTTTTCCAGCTAGCCTGTGCGGCAACATGCGACCGCTTTGACTGTTTGGTGAAAGAACTGTAAACGAAGGAAAAGCGGCTGCAGACAAAGTCAGTAGTGGTGAATTCATGTCAACATGTGAATTCATAGGAGGGCAACGAATCAAATTCATGAGATGAAAAAAAAGAAAAAAAAAAAAGAGAAACAAAAAGAAGGAAAGAAAAAACACCATGACATTGGAGCAACAACGCGTCTTTCTTTAAACGAGCCTTGAGATTATGGGCTGGAGGGATCAGGAAAGAGTAAACAAGAGGAGCTTCAAGGCTGTTCCTTTGAGGATTTTTCCAACGAATGTGATGAGAGTGTGGGCAAGAAGCCTAAGGATTGCAGGGAAGAGGAGAGGGGGCAGTGAGGGTGGCAGTCGTGCGGTTGCAGGAGAAGGCAGAGCAGAAAAGAAGCGCAAATTACGAGGCAGGCGTGTTCTCCAAATTCCCAAAGTATCCATACATATAGATTTCAGCGTTCATATAATTTTATACGCATTTGACTACACTAGACGCATTCACCAATTGAGCAAGAGTGGTCAGAAACCTGCAGGTGAGGATCAATCAGATCAGCCAGCTGTGCTTTTGAGTCGACTCAC